AAATATTAATTTATCTTTAGGCAATTCTCCAGTCCAATTTTAAGATACGTAAGCAATCAACCATACGTAACGCCCTCAGATCATTGCAAACACTCATAGCCCATAGATAATTCGCTATTATGTCAATTGCTTTTTGTATATTCGGTTTTAAGCGAATAAAATCTGGACAAATTAAGTAAATTCATGCTATCCTTAAAAATCGCTAATATCGAGGGACAAAATCAATTTTTCCTTCTTAGTTACGCTTATAATTTGACAATAAATTCATTCATTATTAGTCTATAAAGTTTATGAGTTACGAAAGAATTTTAGGTGCCAAAGGAAATTATTGTTAGACGGAATGTTCTTCTATACCAAAAACAAGTATAAGAAGTTTTGGGGGTTGAGTAAAAAGACTGTGAAAATGGTTGTGTTGCTTTTCTTGAAAATTGGTATGCAATATTGAAATTCAGAAAGATTGTGGCTATTGTTATTAAGTCTTCTTCAAAATTAAAAAAACATTTTTTAAAAAGTTCTTATGATAAAGTATTTGATTAAAATGTAATAATTAAAGTTTTCAGTCATCGAGAAAGTTAAGTACATTAGATATAATAGTAATACATTGAAAATACTTCTAATATATCTTCATTAATTAAATTTAATTATTCAACAATCGTTGCATTTCAATAATACAAACTGGATATATGTATAGTGTGTAAACATTAGAACATAAACCGGAAACAATGTCATTATAGCGTTAGGGATAAATCCATACGGACTTCACAAGTAAGCAATTGTTTACATTTGTCATTTCCTAGTATTCGGTACCAGTAAGGTCTTCCAATTGATATTGTAAACATTGCCTTGGAGCATTTAAGAGAAAATATATATATGTACGTAAACATATTATATAATTGACACAACGTGGGATTAAAATTTACAATTAATTATTATCGAGTATAGGTAATAGTTGAATACGTAGAATGTAATAAGTCATATGAATATTATAAATTGCGTAACATGTTTTTTTTTCTAAGTCGCCGTCACATATAACGGAACTATCGCAGAAATCAATTAGTGCTTCATTGATTTTCGGTTATTATGAATGAATACAGACGTCAGCTATCATCAGTTAAGTTTTGAACAAACATTTATATTATGTAATACGTAATAGGCAAGTCATATATTATCTAAACATTTTGCTGACAATTTATTACTTGGACAAACGTAACAAATAATACCGAACCACTTCAAACTAAATTTTAAAAGAAAATAATCATAAAAATTATTGAGTGTTCATCATATAGGAATTTTAATGATATGGATATATGAAGTGATTTAAAAACGATAACCTGGTTTTGTTTATTCAAATGAAGCTGTGTTAATTGAAAGCGCCGTGTTAATGAATGTTGAGAGAAAAAAAAATACGAGCGTCGCGATACCGCCGCGGCGCCGTCCTCTGGCGCCATCGCCACCGACAGCTTCCACGAAACGACTGTACACCATGAATATGCACTGACGGACGGTCAAAGAGTCGTTACAGCCACCATTACATGTGAACAACGAGACATTTTCGTTGGGAAAATGATTTGGAGAAAGAAAATTGTTCGGACGTACCGTTTTACACACGCCGTACGGGTTCTATAATATGTAGTTAAACGTTATCCTGTTACATTAGAAAAGTTTATTTTAATATGAGCGATGATTTTTTATCTTATGCGTAATTTATTTTCCTCCTCCATATGATTACGACGTACGGTTTTATCCGAATAATTTCTCGAAGACCTCGAGATAATTCTAAGAAGTCTTTGATTTTTTTGTTTCCAAAATTTTGATCACGTCACATATGCTTCATAATTCTTTATAGTTAGTTGTAATTATTAATATATATGCATATTTAGATAAATATATATTTTTATCAAATATTTTTTTTTATTTGCAATAACCATATTGTTTGATTAACAATCACCTCAGGGCTTCTTTTCCGAAGCGATTTGACACTTTAGAAGTGTATGGTTTGTGTTTATATTTGTTATAAAGCTGCCTAATGGCTATACACATTGTATACAAAAGTTCAAAAACTTTTTATATTTTTTAGGAACAAACACTCATACATTATTATAACAAACTAGCTTTCCGCCCGCAGCTTCGCCGCGTGGAGTTCGGTTATATCGCGTTTCCAAGAGAACCTTTCAAAAGTCTGGGATAAAAACTATCCTATGTTCTTTCTCAAGGTCAACTCTATCTCTGTACCGAATTTCATTAAAATCGGTTCAGTGGTTTAGGCGTGAAAGCGTAGCAGACAGACAGACAGACAGAGTTACTTTCGCATTTATAATATTAGTAGGGATAAATATTAATATAAAGTGGTAGCTCGTTTTCACCTAAGCCTTAGGGTTAAATTAATTTAATATCTTCTCGATAAGGATCTATATAATTGCAGCCGACGTACATATTTATCTGTCAAACTGTCACAATGCTTTTTTAAACTTAATCAAAATAACCTACATAACTGAACGTCCGTTCTTTGAAAATGCATATATGTTACGAGTCCAAACTTCATGCTTCGTTAACGATGTGTTTAGGAATGTCATTAATCATAATTATAATATATTACGATATAAATTAGAAAAAAAAACTTTTTTTAATTGATAAGTTTTATCAAAATATATTTATTGCTTGTTATCGTTCTTTTTTATTTAATAATTATATTTTCTTAATATAATTCTCCAAAGTTCTCTATGAGTATAAACTAAACGCGTGTAAATATCTCATCTCAAGATTTGTATTAACTTTACCTCAAGCTCTGTTTGAATTCCGTTGAACAGAAAGTTTTTCTTCGAAACCAATCGATATATCAGTTCGAGTTATTGATGACGTATACATAACGTGTTGTACCGGATGTATTTTAAACATACATTTACTGTTTTATGAAAAAGTCGTGATCGCTTTTATTTTCATTTTGCGTTCATCCATGATATTTTAACTGAAATTTTCCATTCTAACTAAAATACATAAATATTTTTTATTATGTACATACATAATACGTATAGTTACTACCATACTTTGTATATAATATATAGGTATAGTTGAAATTACTCAAACGAAATATGCATCCGAGATTAATTACAGAATGTTGTATAAAATTATCTTTAGATATGTAATAATTATTATTATGTAAGATTTATATAACATATTGTTTAATTACTAAGTAAATATATGAGAATCCTAAAAATGTACAACACTTAATAGACGTACAATTATATTATGAAACTGCTTGATGGTTTTTTTTTAATATGCCACACTTTAAAAATGAGAAATCAAAATATCTTATTTACAAATTACAATGAATCTTGAGTGATTCTTTTATCCTAAGCTATATCTTTTTTGTAGTTGATTTCATAATTATTTAAACTAAACTTTTTCAAATAGATTTTTTTTTTGAATAAAGTATGTATATATATTATTTAAATAGTTTGCTTGATACCTTCAGATAGTACTTACGCTAACCTCAAATACTTTACCTTGCCGTGTCTATTTTATATGATATTATAATTTAATACAATATTTCTCAACCATGTAGTCAAAAATCCAATATAAGTTAGTCACTGGCTACGTGGTTTCGGCTTATTTACATTCATCTTTCAAACATTTCAATGTTAAATTGCATAACTAATATATAACAAAGAATCATAGATCATCCGTCAAGATGACATTCCCAAATGGTGACCTACACAAAGGTCGATTAGGCGTTGTGTAGATAATTAATACCTGATTTGTCTGTCCTACTTACGGGCAGCGCATTGCAAGCTGCGCCGGCGCCGATTCTAACTGTTGAATGGCATTTGTGCATATAATTGAGTTTAATTTATACATAGCATCCTTCAATTTTATTATAAAGGCTCATATGATAAGAGATTTAATTGCTATTGTTGTTGCATGAAAAGATGACCTATGTTTATAATATTATATTGTAATAGTGATATTATTAAATTTGCATTAATTTATTATACGGAAGGCGTGTTTATCGACTGTTCGTGTACGTCTATGGTGTTAGCTTAAATACAGCTGGTTGTAGAGTGGTGCATTTACGATGGCAGAGATTGCTCCGACGCCTATATATTCAACACAATGTAGCTAACTGTAACCGACAGGATGACCGGACATGAGATGGGATAAGTTATTACAAGCCCATGATTTAATATACAATAAATAGCTCATCTCTTAATGAACAACGGCATACCTTTTATAAGACGGTTCATAGTATTTAATATAAAGTAATAAATTGTAATGAGCGATGACCAGTGAAGAATGTAAATAGCTGTTAATCGTTTGGTTGCAATAAACGATGTCCTAGGTAGCCAACTGTTTTACTAATTTTTAACCGCGCTTGTTGCGTCACAAGCGAATTTTCAATTGTTGTTACTGCATATTTTATGCTTATTATGAAATTTGTGGAAGACGTAACTGGTCTTTTATATCACAATTAAATATATAATATAACCCCGGTAACCTCTATATAGGACAGTTGTATTTATAAATCCATAACATTAGCGTGAAACTATCGACCACTCTCATTAATATAATTAGCTTATTTATTTATTTTTCAATCAACACATGAAATTATTTTTTAATAGGTCAATATTTTACCGTTACATAATATTTTGGTGTGCATTGGAAAAATTGTATGATCATAAGAGATGGCTCGTTACGGTGGCGGGGCGGAGGAACCGGCCGCAGTGCGCGTGCGACTCTCACCGTCTTATCTCTCGCGACCTCCGCCGGGCCCGGACGCGCACGATCCTAGCGCTCCGCATCGATTGAACTCGTACCGCGATCGCGCTATGTCGCCCTATACGCGTCACACTTATGTGTTTGAATATTTGTTTTCTTCATTCGTAAATGGTCATAGCCCGGAAAGGCTCCAGTGATTTGAATTTAACATTGTGTTAGACTGTCGAACGTTTTTTTTTTCCAATCGTAAATCGAGTGGTTATTTTATTTAAGACTGAGACACGACGATGGTGTCGGAAGGGGCTTTGCCCGTTGTTTGGTGTATGCGCGATAACCAGCTTGTGCCTCACCAAGTATCCGGTGTTAAGTTACAAGGTGCAGTTACTGGAGCACATATAGCTGCTGTTTCGGACTTTTTACGTATGGTAGCAGGTACACCGATAATATTACAGCCGCCTGCAGTACACAACAATATTGATAATGAAATTAGTAAAGATAATACAATTAGACGTCGAAAAATGTCGATGCAACTGGAGGTTCCTTGTGTCTTTCTCTCCGAAAGTGCTTTGCAAAAAGCAAAATGCCGCCATAATTCCTTAGATGAACAGGTAATATTTGAAAATTGTAGTACATCTAACACAAAAAATATTGATGTAGACCAATTATCAAACACCAAAATAAAAAATCCTAGATATGAGGATCGACACGGATCCGATAAAGACATGTTTCCCCAAAGAATAACGAGAATTATTGAATTAAATGATACAACAAATGAATCTGACAAGGAACCGTTACAAAGAATAACAAAAATAATAGAATTTGAAAATGACAAATTGCTATCACCAGTGTCAGTAGACGAAGATAATGAAGTGCCGCAGAAAATTACTAGAATAATTGAATTCAATGAAGAAAATACGTTTTCTTCATTAACAAATAGTATTGATGATCTTACAAGAGAATGTTCTCAGAAGATACCTAGGATATTAGAGCCGTCTAAGGAAAATGTTTTTCCAAGTATGGCTAAAATTATAGAAATGGAGAATGAAAAGTCAAATGAAAGGAGAATATCATTAACGAGCGAACGAGAAATTAGTTGCGGTACCACAGAAAATTGTACCGAAAATGAAATAATTAGATCTAAGCCATTACAAAGAAGTAGATTTAGTGTTGATTCTTCATGCTCCGAAAACTCTTATGCAAATATAGATACTATAAAGAGTTTGCAGGATGTAAGAAAGGAAGATACTTTAGAATTTAGTACAAATACTGAATCTATAACAACTTCTAAACCAACGATTCGATCGCGTTTCCGTAGGAAAAAAACATCTGTTTGTTCGATTGGATCGTCAGACTGTGATGACGAAATAGATGTAATTTTTAAATCTAAACCAAAATCTAGTCAATGGGTGAGCTTGGATTGGATACCGCCGCCCATAGAAGAGCCAGTGATTGCTCAAGTCTGTGATAAAAATGATTTCATATCGAAATGGATAGCGGAACAAAATTCTCAAGATTCAGGCATCATACCTGACGAGAGAAGAAAGAGTCTGCCCCCGAAATCTAACGAAGTATACATACAAAATATGCGAAGATTCAGTGATGGTTTACAGATCTGTAAAGAAGATGCGGCTAGTGATTCTCCTGCTACTGTTAAATGGAAATGGCACGATATAGTCAAAAGACATCTACAGCTTCTTAAAAACGACAAAGGCTTCCGACGTCAAAGAGGCAGTTGGATACGAACGGCCCGTCGACTGTCAGGAACTAATGACAATAAGTTTTCGGAACAACTGCCTTTGGATACCTATATGAAACTAAATACTATGCCGTAAGTTCATTTATTATTTAAACAATCACTCTTTTTGACATTTAATCTCTTCGTATTTAATAACAATATGAATACATTTCGTTTTATCCGTGTTATTCTCTAACTTACTTCTTATATATATTTTGTTGTGTATTATTTAAGATATAAATCTAAGTTTTGAGTAGCATTATCAATCGATCATATGGATGTTTTCCAAATACGGCGACGTTATTTAATAATAAGACAGTCATGTCTCGTAGGCATATCAGAAAGATTTTAAGGTCCGGTCTTTTGATAAGACGCCGGTCGTGGAGTGCGTGTTACGAGAGTTTGTCCGAGCACGCTCTTCCGCAAGGCCGTTCGATTAGAATGCAGAGAGCTCGCGTCCAAGGCTACGTTTGCGCGGTCGGTCGCTGCACCGGCAGCAATCTTCCTCCTGCTTGTTCGACAATTGGAAGTCGGCACAGGAAATAACTATGAAGGTGACGCTAACGAAATCTGTACCCAGCTATCGATCGGAAGCTATACTAATTTGAATTTCTCACACACCTTTGGTTCGTGATTTTATTTTCTATGCTTCCTTGATCTCTATTAGAATTATTAGCACACATTAGCATTATCTAATCTGTATCAAGTAAAATAAATACAATTTTAAATGTAGATAATGTTTGTGTTAATTATATGAGATTTAATAAATATAAGGGAAGTCCTAACCGCTAAAGAGAACTGAAAGCAGGCTCGTGGTGAAGCAAGGTATACGGACGCGTCGGTGTCGGTTTCACTGAGCAGCCTTGAGGGTTACTCTGGTTGCACAATGGCAGTCTTTAGTTCCTATATAAAGTATATATAGGAATCACGCGAATTGATTGTATACATGTTTTGCAAAACATATCGTTATTACTTTATTATTTAGATGCGACTAGGTATTTGAAATATGTTGACCAAATGATTGAGTTCTCGAGATTGACCAATTATTCCAAAAACATGCTTATTATGCATAACGATCACCAACATTGCTATTGTACTATATGACTGTATGTACAATATGTAGGTTTTGAAACAAACACATTCACATCGCAATATTTGCTTGTTTTCCAACTGATTCCAACAACTTTTATTCTCAACTGTATACCTGAAATCGATAAATTTTTCATGTGAATATCTTAAAATACATTTTCTAACTTAATCTAAGTGTATATTTCAAAATACCTTTTGGATACATAATAATTACCTAATGCCGCTTTCACTTATTTGATATATGAAAATGAAGTAATAAATACAAAAGCACTTCTTAACTGTTATTAGTTGTAGATAGTAAAGTCTTCACTGATAATATTAAATGGTTGTTAATTTTATAAATAGTTGTGGCAACGACCATAATATCTTGCCACTAGTATTGCTACTTATACTTGCTGGACAAGTTACTTATTGTATAACAATCCAAACGGACGATAAAACGCATCTTCAATTTACTATTATATTAGTTGAAAATTTCGTAATACAATGAGACTGACAAAAGTAATATATGCTACAAATCATGCATACCAACTTGCTATTGGAAACTGAAGCACACGCATCTAGAATAAGAAGTAAACAAAAATAGTCTGCGATTTTATTTTTATTTCTATAAAAAGATGCAAAGCATATTGTCTAATAACATTTAACATTAATTGCTTTTGCTTCACTTTCACTATGACTAATACTATAATTTAGTAACGTTCCGTGACGTCTCTCACTCTGTAATGTCGATTTAGGTTTTTTTGAGCAGACTCGAAATCTGGCTTTCTAGTTGAAATGAATTATGTTGTCAGTATATCATTGATTGCTGGCTTCGAGCTTGGCTAATGTTTCATAGATCCGCCTTTACTTTTATTTATTACAAGCCAAAATTCTAATAAACATATTATCTCGCCCGAGATCACTCCGCTAGTGATTTGAGCTTATCACAATGCACCGAGGATCTCTTGCAGAGAACAATGCAACAGGTTTTATGATTTGTTGTTTTTTTTTTCTCCTTTTTACACATGTTGTAGCGACTGCACGCTCTTATATACCTCCGACGATAATAATCGCTACTGAGTTGATGTTTTCTTATAAATTCTAGCAAACATCTTTCAATGAACTAAATATCATTTTCATCTTTAAATAAACTAACAGTCATTCAATTTGATGAAGATTTTTTTCATTATATTCCATACTAGAGAATAATCGAGTTTCACAAAATCTATAAAATGAATTTGATAAAAGGTTAAGCAAATGAAATGCTGGTAGCAATCATGCTTATTTTAAACCAGTTTCATAAGATCCTATTGTAAAATAATGGTCTTACTTATATTTTTGGTAACGTGTTATTTCTTTTGTTGCACTCAACGTAAAGAAAGCTTACATACTCATGAATAACTATACTGGAATTTATTTCTTTGTTTGCTTTAATAAAAATACTACGATAAATCTGTAAATAATACTTAGTATGTAAGCCAGTTACACAATAAAAATTCGCAGTACCTATTTTTGATTTTGAACTTCGCATCATCATACCATTTTTGATTAACAAGCGATACTTACTACTAACGACTCATTGTCAACTTTACTAAATGTTTTTATCATATAATAGACATTTTAATTGCTCATTTGCTTCAACCTAGGTAAGGTTAACAGTTCTTTATTTAGACCTTCCGTAACTAAATTGTTTACAAACATAAATCATTACATTTGAACATACGTCTAAGTTAAAGGTCTTAAAAATTTAAAATATAATCAACCCTTGACTAATCTTCACTCAAAATTCAATCTGTGTCTTGATAAATTAGGCTCCTATCCTTCTATGTCACTTCTGTGAATAAATAACGGGGGAATCTATATTTGTTTCAAATACCGTTAAATATATTATACTTAATGGGGTTTTTGGTTCATGTGTTTCCTTTCAGTCAAAAAATTTTTGCACCAAATAACAATTTGGAGCAGTTTCTTTGTCAAGTATATAGCCTGTAAGAGGAACTTTCCAATCTTAAACATGATATGAATCACAGTGGTTTTGTGTTATGGGTCAAAGATGGTAATAATAATTACTTTTAAATTAATTTGTAACGCAATTAAGCCTTCCTCGAATATTTTCTTTTTTTTTTGCATCGAAGGTCATTTGCAAAATATTAAAGTCAGGAAACGGTTATGTAATGATGGATGTTATTAAAATACGTCTGTTGGAACAATAATATGAAATTGATTTGATTGTTACGGTAACTGTGTAGTGTGCAATTATATGTAGTTACGTGTTCTAGTATTAATTGCTAACAATCCAACAATACAAGCCAATGTTGTGTTTTTGCGATCAACACATTCACGGTTTGCAGCATGTGACAAACGTGACGGTTGAAAAAGTTGTAGTAAACGTATCCCGTGGATCGTGAGAAACATCTCATTAGATATATAATGTTGTTTCTAAAAACTAAGAGGTGACGTTACATCGTTTATATGACTATAATCATATACATTGCATCTTTTTATTTAAATAAGAAAGGTTGAGCTTTCTACATAATTAAAGGGCAATTTATGCGACACGATAACCACATTTTTGTTATTAATAAAGAAACGCTTTTCACTGACATAAATTCTCGTATAATTATAAAGTAATTAGACAGTGTTAAAACCACACCAATAAATCAGACATTAATGTCGATGTTACAATATAACATCAGTTATATAATTACGAACTATGTAATAAATATAAAAAATAGAATAAAATGTACGGTTCATAATCTATAAATAAACTCAGATGAGTGATTCATCCTCAGGTTAACAACGCCTGAACAAGCGCTTCCTAAAAACTAGTATTGAAGTCTAAGGCGAGGTATGTCCATAGGGATAGAGAACCCTATAATTAGATTGGCCATCTAGCAAGCTGCCTGGAGTCAGGTAAGACTGGCTTAGCAAAAAAAAGGTGCTCACATCGGCACGCACAAGTTCAACGATCGGCAATCCACCTATAGGCCAATTGTATTATCCTATTTCTCTCCTTAGGGAGACAGAATTCTATTTTTAACGATTATAGCATTTGTGATATCCTTTTAAATCTTAGGCTTCTCCGTTTTTAATTTTTTATTTATTTTTTGCTTTGCACAAATGAAGCTATTCATATTTGAAGTTTAATATTTGAACTTTCCCGTGTATCCAATTGAAACATGTAAAATAAATATAAGTTAGAAACTTGTTAAGGCGATAGGCTACATTTGTTCTGATCAATAAAATCTATGTTTGTCATGTCTCATTTAAATATTATTCTTATATTAGTAAGTACATACAATTGATTGTTGAATAAATTTGTATGTATTTAAAAGATGTTATATTGTCTTTGTATCCACCGAAATAAAAATATGTTCACGCTTTTTATTTTGTTGTTAATAATAATGCAATGCGATGTGATTCATTGAAAAGTTCTTATCTCGGCGGTTGGCAGATTAAGTAATAAAACATAGCTTATAACAAATGGAGTAGAAAGTTGAAATGTTCAAATAGTAAAAAAAATGAATAATGCTTATTTTATATATATTCATTTCTTCGATTCCTAATCTTGGGTTATGAGTCAATGTGCTAAGATATGGACTATAATAAACACGTATGTATTCTAACAAAACGATTGTTTACGACGATTTCTCTCCGCGAGCGGGTCAAGGACACTCTCCTGTTCAAGAGTGCATCTTGTAAACTACTCACACTACCTTTGTTACATCTCTCTTGTATTGATGGCTGTCTGGAAGTGCAGGATCAAAAATATTAAGTTCATTGGTTCCTAAATAGATATCGTGAGTGTTTTATTGCCTAAAAACGCCGCTTTCACTATTATATAGAATAATAATCTAATTGTTTATAGTAATTTATTATAGCATAAATATAGTAGAGAAAGAAACTAAATATTTTGATGAATATCTATACCTATCTCCACGTAACACTGTATCAATATTTTCCTTGCCTTGTGCTAATAAATATATAGTATTAAGGATGTTCACTGATGATACCAATCAATCAATTCTGTATGCATTTTCATTCCCTACAAGACCTTCGACACCACCTACCTAGTAACCAATCCGACACTAGGCATGCCCTTAGAACGTGACAAGGTTCCACGTAAGTTGCAGGATACAGCGTCTTGTAACTTTTATTATTATGACATTGATCGTTACATATAATTTTCCTCTCCTATACTATTTTACTATCCGACATTGGTCGAATATGTAATGTGCAGGGAACTTAAATAAGGTCATAGGCTACAGCAATATAAACAGTCAACAATCACACCGAGTGTTATTAAGTTATCAGTTGATGGTAGTTATGATAGCTTTCTCCTGAGACTGTATAAACTTTATACACATTATATTACATCCATCGTCATAACACTATCATCGCGTATTTGATGAATGGTTATATAAATAATATAAATAAATAAATAATAATTACATTATTTTATATGACAGCTTATCTGAATATAATATTGATATTTTAATAATAAAGTATATAACAAGTTTGTAAACAATCCGACGTCGTTGATATATGATATTAATTAATTATTTATATGAGACGTTGCGACCTGTTATTTAAATGTGTTCCTTATTTTTATTTCGTTTATTTTTTATGTATGTTCAATTTTATTGTGAAATTTTATGATGATCCCTTTCAATGATATTGACGTGAAAGTATCAACAGAATTAATGTATATGCAATGCTATCTAAGTGATTCTGGCTCTATGACCTTTAGAGAGGGCAAGCCTCTGATAGTGTTAATTGTTATGTATTAAATTTCTTTTCTACCAAACTGTTTATGTATTTATAACGCGTCGCATTAAATCAATCGTGATAAGCATCACACTGCTTGCTCGTACCCTTAATTACAGTCCAAAGGCTTCTTCGTGTCTCGGAACAATCCTGATGAATAATCATAATTACTGCTCGCTAGAAGCTTATCGTCACGAATGCTATAAAACTACTTACTTGGTAATGTTGCATTACTTCAAAACTTATATATTATTCAAAGAATTTCATTCGCTGCGTTATTACTAGAAAATTGAAAATTTGAATATTAAATTGAATCAAATAATAGCTTTATTTTTTTTTATAGTTCCGTCCGACGTTTTCATATGAAATTTTAATAATCTCCGTTGTATAATTTGTTTTAACGTTATGTAATTGCTTAAATGGAACGAGATTTAACGAAATTTTACAAATTCTCAAACAAACCGGTACGCTCGCAGCCAGACGACCTAATAGGCGACGGTTGGACATTGTTCACTGACATTATGATAGCATTCGGAGCACAAAAAACATGAATACTGAAATGTTACATCAAAACATTAACGTTTTACAATATTTTGCGCAGCATTTTAATGTTATTCTCTTTTTTCTTGCATAGAACGAGTTAGGTTCGTTTTTTATAGTTGATGATTAAGTGGAACAAATAGACAGACGAACAGAAAATATACGCATCTAATAATAAATATAAATATTGACAAAACTTGTACATTTGTATCTAATTATAATATCCTTTAGTTTTTGAATAGTTAATTAAGTAAAATTTGATTGCGAACTTTATTGTCCTCGTGAAAAGGAAGTCGTTGAGTCATTTTATCTTATTTCCCCATAGGTCATGGCGACTCGTTATCTTATATAAATACATAGTAATACTTTATTTGAAATGGTTTTGTCGTAAATAATTAATACAATGTGTAACAGTAATAATATTCAACAGGGTACGACGTATTATATTAGTAGAGTATTTCGTCGAAGCTTTGCTCTAGATGAAATTTTATTCTTAGGTCAAATTTGATATGTGCACGCTATGTGCTGTCAATATAAAAAAATACATTTACTCTATGTACACTTAATATAACAAATATGTCATATTGAAATACACAAAAACATTCCCATTACATTATGAGTACAATTGAATCGTATAATGAATAAGACAAATTTTATTTTCTTATGTTAAATAAAGATTCGTACTTAAAATCAAAACCATATTTATAGTTACTAATGTACATTTTTTTCGATATACAATTACCTTTTTATCCGTCCTCTCAATTAAAAACAGCATCATCACATAGAAAGTATGAGAAATTTTGTAATAATTTGAGACTCAGTTCCCATGTTAAATATGTTTAATACAATAAGTTAGTCCTCTCGTTGTGTCAAAGGCACGTGAATTGAATGCAAATTATATATTCATTGGATGTTTCAGTGAGTCATTGTCGCCCCGCTTTCTGAGCTCGTTATCAATGGCAGATATCCTTGCAAATTGTTTGTTAAAACCAGCTATGCATACGATTGCAATGTTTGTGTTTCTGTTCAGCCTTCTGACGTTTCGCAAAAAATCTGGACGTTGGATTTTTATATTTATATTATATTTTTTTGGTTACAGATGGTATTTCCGTAAAATAAAACGGATCGAAGCGGAGAAGAAACTGCTCCTTCCAGAGAATGAGCACGGCGCTTTTCTTATACGTGATTCTGAAAGTCGACACAATGACTTCTCATTATCAGGTAAAAAAGGATTATTTAGATTGTTAATGTCATTATGTTTCACAATATTTAGTATACCGACATCTGAAATAATAGGCGTTTAAGTCGACTGAATATTTAATATCGAATAGCCTTATTATTTCGCAAACCTGACCTCCAACCCATTGATCTGATAAAATTTTCTTTTAACGACTTTGTTGGCATTTTAATATACCCAAACATGACCAATTTTTAACAGTAGGTAGTTCAAGTACACTAGGATCTAGATCAAGTTTAAATTTGAAATCACATGTCGACCTACTGAATGTGCTCCAGTAAGTAGTGCAGTAGGAAAATAAGTTAAAATGTCGCAAACTTTTACACACATATATTAAAACCGAGAGCATTTATTTATTTTTAAACTATGGCACGTATTAGAATGTAAAGTTTTCTAGAAACGTCCAACCCGATAATAAAACCAGTCAGAATACATCTTGACTCAATTATTACCAAAAAATTATCGGCTTCATAGTTTTAGATACATTAATCAATTATGAATAAATTGCGTTCGTTGCCTTATGATTTCATTATAATGATGTCCGTTTAGTTAGCCGTTATCCACTGATATGTAAATATGAATGTTGGTATATAAGAGCCAAAAGTGTCTTAAATCTCGTGCGATGAATATTAAAAATATCCTACATATAGTTCAGTGGCTCTCACTTGATATGTTACATCGTCTAGAAGACACATGAACATCAAACTATATACGTATATAGTCCACGTAGAGAACGTATTACCTCAGAGGAAAATTAATAAAGATATTTCCAAGGAAAACATAAATATCTAGTTCATTTTTAAGTTACTATTGTATTATTTATATATTTTAACTGGAATTTTTATTGTTTAATAAAAGAAACGATCATTATCTGAATGACATGAAGATTTCTAAGAATTTATGACCTCAATAAATTACTTACGATTTTTATTCTCTATATAAATTATAAACCAAGTTTTAATGTTCTATATAAAGTCTTGAGATATGTTTGAAAATAGACATCGATATGAGTCAGGTATAACATTAGGACAATGACTTCAAAAACTTAACTGCATTGAAGCAGACTTAACTTACGATAAATAATATTTAATCAAGAATGTATTCATAGTGAAAACAATGTAATCAAATGAGCAATACATTGTATGTGTTAAAATAAACAAAGTATTATTTGCAGTTATTCTAATAATGTCATATATATTATTCGGCGAATTCCTTATTCAGTCATTGACACAGCCTTCTATTTAGACAGGAAATACTTTATTGTATTTAATATTCCCGTCGTGTGTTCTTGCTTAATGTTTTTTGAGACGAAAATCAAAATTCAATTTATCTTTTGAGATGCATTGAATATTTATCGATGTTTTTATACTATCAATGCAACGCTATAAATTCAGATAAACGTAATACTGCTGTTATACTCCATAAAATTATTTGTTTCTCCAAAATGTTCATACAAACCAATGTATTCCATTTATACTACATATTTCAAGTATTACATAAGTACTGTATTTCCAATATATTTATGTGCTGCAGTTGAATTTTAGAAATCGTTTTGCTTTTTATTAAATTTCATAACAAGCCGCTACGTATATTTTACGACTCGAAACTCGTATAAAGTGAGAGAGTCGTAAAGTTTACTTGAATAAAAGTCTACAGTCGGCCTTAAATGTAAAATCAAAGTAAATTGAATTTGTTATCAGTTCGTGATGGTGATACGGTGAAGCATTACCGTATTCGTCAGCTGGATGAGGGTGGTTTCTTCATTGCCCGCCGTACAACCTTCAGGACTTTACAAGAGCTCGTGGAACACTACAGCAAGGATGCTGATGGCTTATGCGTTTCCCTCAACAAGCCATGTGTACAGGTATGATCATTTATATATATTACTAACTGACCCGGAAAAAGTTGTTTTGCTATATAAAAAATAGGGTTGTATGTATTTTTGAAATAAAATTTCGTACAAAAATGAAAAAAAAATTAAGGTTGCACAACCTTTATCACTTGGGGGTATGAAAAGTAAAGAGTAGCCGTTTTACAGACCTAATGAATACGCTTATAAAATTTGGTAAAAATCGGTAAAACCGTTTTGGTAGAGTATGGTAACTAACATTGTGATATGGATACTTTTATTAGATTTGTCTCTTCCCAATCAATCCTGTATTATTATAATTGTATAAACGTATAATAATCTATAACTGACTTCTGAGTAATGAATATTATTAGTATTCTGAAACTATTCGACCGAATGTCATAGCACTTTGATGAGTTGTTCGCGTCAAGGTTCCTTAATTATTTCTAAAGTTTCACGATGTTCGACGTCGGAGTGTTTAAACATTATATGAATCGCTATTGTCTTTTTTGGAACAAACAGTTCAAAAATAAATTTTAGTTATATCGGATACGTTATCCGATCAAACCTCACCTATAATGTACAAGGTATTTTTATTCAAATCGGTCTGATTACTATGAAACCTATTCTTCGTAAACGTCCGAAGTTTTTATTTGATACCAAAAATAAACAAGCTAAGGGAGGGATTACTAATCGTTGAGGCTTGCAATACATTCCACACATACGACGCGTGCTTTGAATCTTAGTCGTTACTTCGATGGTGGGAAGCTAACGAACACCTAACAGGCAGTATTGAACACATGATTGGATGTATTAAACGGCTTATAGTATTTACGAGAGATCATAAAATAGTATATATTTATATTTTAATAATATGGAACGCGTTTTGACGCTCAATAATGTTTTTCCGTACAGACAAAAGCATCAACTAAAACACGTTTCACATAATATATCGACATATGTAAACCGTATATTGCTGTAACTGTTAAAAATTAATTATGTATATTAAATGTACCATGAAATACTTGTCTTTGTATTGTTTTCTTAAGAATATTAATAAATATACAACAGTGGTTATATAAGGCAATAACGATGTTTGTACATACTGATTGACGAGAAAATTAATGTAAGTGGTTAAATAGAAATATATTTATAACTACACGGATGAGTTCAGCTATGTAAAAATGTATATACAATATACATATGTATAATATATTTATAATTTTATTGCATATTCAAGGTTTAGTTCACAGTATTTGTAGCGTTCTTAAATCAAAAAAGAATTCAATGTGAGTTGGGATATGACGATAAAATTTACGATTCGAGACGGACAATACTCTGGACTCGTGAGAATTATATCCAGGGACTGTTTTTAAATTCAACGAAACCATGATTCTTTCTTGGATCCGACCTATATGAAATTTGTTTAAAATGAACTCAGCAGACTCGTAATTCTGTAATATATGTATGTATTTTTTATTTACTATTTTACTATCAGACTGCTAAGACGTATTGAGAGGGAATAGCGACATTCTCATAATACATAAAAAACCGAATACAAGCCATTATTAAAATAAAGGGCTAAGGATTTAGTATTGCTTCTTTTTGCCAAAGTGTCCCTTGACTTAACAAAGACTCGTGGTGGAATCAGTAACTCCTATTATAAAAACATTTCATAAAATTGATGGTACAAATATTTATTAAGGAGATGTTTCAAGTTGTCATGTCTTTACCAACAGACTGCGACTAGGAAAGTTGTTTTTTAATTCATACAAAGCATTTCGCATTCGATAATTAAATAATGTTTTCAAAAGACCTCATTATTATTAGTATAATTGAAACTGTAAAACCATACTGTTAAGTTACTCGTGATAATCCTTTTAGTAACAATATTTATCAAATTTTATAATTGGATTCAGAAGTCATAGTATTTAAAAATTACTGTCTTTTACGCATTACAAATATACATTTATATTATATGTATATAAAACACTATTCAATCTTTCTTATTAATAAGACAAAGCTGTGTGATAATTTTCTATCTATATAAATATTCTTTCTTTTTCCACGTGTATCAAACATTAGTTAATTTGCATCAGAACATTGTTCTACCAGCACGTGTAAATTCCTATACAATAAATGTTACGAGAAGACTAACATCATCACGTACCACTTATATATAATAATCATTATAAATTCTTATTTAATGACACTAAATACTTAATTTGTACCATTTATTTGTTGTCATAATTCATTAAATGTTAATTGAATCTTCCGTATAATATTACTATATCTACGCCGTGGTTTTTTTTCTCAATAGAAGTGTTAATTGCTTTTTAAATATATTTATATTATTTACGATCAATTAAAATTTGCCATTTATTTTTTCTTACAATGAAACATGTCTGATCGAGTCGAGATAATTTCGAACTAGATTCCGATATTCTAATTTCATTCAAGAATGTGTTAATTGTAATTTAGTGAATATATACAAAAAAATATACATAAGTTGACAATTTAATGGAAGTATTGGCTTGGGAATTCCATTTTGTTATATAATCTTTATAAGTATAATTGATCGAATGAGGAACATTGTTGATAAAACTCAAATCGATGACGGATTATATGTCCTCGTTTATCTTTAAGGAATATTGCCTTTGACAATGATTTACCTTATTTTTAAGGAAGTGTCTCAACAAACGCACTATTTAAGACCTGCCTTAACTAACAATGATTACACTAACGTATCGTCAAGTATAAAAATTACTTATACAAAATATCTTTGATTGATTTTGCGTGATGTAATGAAATGCCAAAAAAGCATTACTAATTAGCGCCTCGGAAAAAGTTGTTTTACGTAATACATAAACATGGACATTTGATCAAAAACTGTTGAAAATTACAGAATTATTATTATTTATTAACATAATAACTATATTATAATCTCCAGTTACTCTATGAGTGGTACAAAGAGGATTAAATTAATAATACGTTTTAAAGAAGTTTTACAGCAAAATACATTAGAATAATATGTTCAGAAGATGCAGTGTTGCTTAACGTAGTACCATTGCACATATAATTTTCTAATACCCAACATTTGTCTGCCTGTTCGCGTACAGCGGTGAAAACTAACCTATCAGCGCATATATTCCGTAATCAGAATAAGAAATCACTAGAACGTTGCAATTTAATTAATACCTAATCATTCAAATACTACACGATTTTGTTACAGAAATGTTTCGTGATTTGCATCAATTTTTTTCCTTCAGGTGTTTCTCATCACTATTAAAATATTAAAATGAGACGATGTATCGTGTAATCGAAACTAATTTAAATCTTTAATTTACCGTTATTTTTTGATATTTTATTTCTAATTTAGTTCTCAAACTGAAAATGTTTTTCATTGGTATATGATTCCAGAAATTTTCTGCATCATCTATCGAATCAATCTAAAAATATTGAACAGTCCTTCAGATTACATGACATAGGAGGAAAATTTGGAAAATCTTTAGCAATTTCATCTTGGAATATAAGATCCTATTCATACTATTATCTTAAGAACCAACCTGCATACATGTCTATATACGAAAACAAATAAATAAAACAATTCTGGGGACTTGGTAGTTGGATTTCTGTTTCGAGAATAAGGGAAAACTGTTATCAAATTATTTTATTGTTTTCAGTCCTTGATACGTATGCAATGTCTCAAATCATTCAGACTTCTAGAAACCGGTGAAAATTAAGCTCAAAGATTCCATTACATACATACAATCCAAGGTAATAAAAGCATGTTAAAAGAGTTTCTAGAAACGTTCGATCTTAGGTATAACGTCTAGAAGACATTAGAACTAAAGATGTTATTTCATAGCTAAAGATGATTCAGAATGCATAATGTTAGGAAAGTTATCTACAAAGCAAATCATAAGCTGATGTAATAGAATATTATGTACAAGTAATGGCTACATGGAAACAATACTGTGATGACTGTTGTAACATAGTAAATATAGTTCACAAAAGATAATTAATAATTTAATCTCAAGTATAATGTTCCATTGATGAGAACCAAACATATGTACATGTACTAGATGGAAATATTAGTTTTTGTTTTTCAATAATTCGCAAGCGAAACTATTCTTTAAACTGATTGAGGATCACGTCTTATACGTTTTAGTTATAACTTAATGATTAAAAGGCTCTATTTGAAATAAGTGCGTCTTAAAAATAACTATCACACTACCAATATATGAAAATTCGACCTACCTTTACGACAATTACTAATAGTACCAAGTAAAAATGTATGCATTAGATAAACTGTACTGTCTGAAATTATAAAATATATAATATTTATAGATACTTTGACACCAAACATGAGAATAATCTATGAAATATGGAATAGTTTTTTATTACACCTATCAATTAATACACAAATTAGTACCTTAATCATATTTATTATATTCCTAACAAATGTTATAATTAAAAAACTTTACTGGAGTTTCTATTTAACAAATAAATTCCTTAGAATTTACGGTCGATGAAATAATGAAGACTGGCTATATTGTAGACATTTAGTAGTTAATATTGTGTAATGTATTTATAACTGATACAGAAAGAAAACAACAAAAATATTCGCAAGTAACTTTCCCAACTTTTACAATTTATACGAAACGCAACAACGAACGCTTGCATGGTTATTGCAAAAAGTTAATAACTAGCGTCGACCTCGCGAAAATTAAGCAAAAATAAGAAAAAATAAAAACTCAAATAAGACAGACAGTTCATTTAATTTGAACCGCTCTCAGCGGTCAAAGGAATGGAATGATTTTTATGCACGGCAACACATAATTTGGGACTTTAAATATATGCCATTTATTTATATACAAGATATTACTTATAAACTACGTAATTATAAAATATGTATTTTTACGATTTCCGATTGTCCTTAATCGTTCACAAGTACTCACTAAAAGTTGATAATTATTATTAAGACATACGTCCACGGATATACATATGTAATTTTGTCTAAAATGAAATTAAAATTCTTGTAACGAAATGAACTCTACAACATACAACACTATATTGTTTCAAAACAAAAATCCTTCGAACACTTCTTTTGTCCTTTCTATTACCACACCGGAGATACCCATTTGTCATCTAGACATATAGGGACTACTTGGGAGGTACTAACACATACGTTGAACGGAAAAGAATTAATAAGTAAATGAATATTTTGTAGCAATAAAAATATACAATACTATAACAAATTGTTTCGAGTCTTCTTAGAGAGCCATAAATAAAAATATCCTTTATAAAATTGCTCTGATGTTTTTTTTGATAAAAATGACAAAACAAAAAAGTTATAACTCTAAACAGAAATATTGTTCAATGATGTTCAGTTATTTATGTTTAAATTTTTTACTTTACGATAAATTGTAACAAAATGAATGTTGAACATAATTAAAATTTGCAGCAAATAATGACATAAAATTATCTATGGTATTCTACTTAACGAGATTTACCTGATGTGATAACCTTTTGCACCCAATTTTCAATTGCATCTCAAAATTTGCACTTTTACTGGTATAAGCATAAGCTTGAAACTAGTTACCTAACCTACACAGTAAAAAAATTAACTCTATAAAACAACTACAAGTGTACTTTTTAAATGGTCAATACCGTATATTTTTTTTTACTGAACTTTAATATAGAGAGCTAGATGTCAGAAGAGAACTGTTATGGTTGCTCTGAATCAAAGTTTTGAATTCATACGATGGATGGAAAGTTATAACAAACAGAGATTGACACCGGTTGGTTTACATCCAAAGACGTAATTACAATTTATAGATAATGTACGTGTATATATATATGTTACATATAAATTATTGTCTTCCTATATTCTCGTAACATTTTTTTTCAACAAACGGAAATAAGAAATTTACCGTAGTATTCTATTACAGTCAGAAAAGTATTTGTATATAACAAAAAAGAAACAATTAAATTAAGCTTTTAATTTAGATTTGATCGTATTTAAATCTAGCAGTGCTCACTTGCTCTAAATTATTTTATATAATTAAATTTTAATGAGTAACTATTCACATTTATTTAATTTTCAATAATAATTACGTTCTTTTTAAAAACTTTATTGTATTTCTACTTCACAACGGAAAAAATGAATTTTCCTTTATTTTCTATAGATCAATTAGTAACAAAAGGCGGTCATTGTCACAATATAATATTTTAATTTAATCACCATCACGCGACTAAATAAATAAATGAGGTGCTTTTATTTAACGAACTATTGTGTTTGAAGTTAGTTCGCGTTCTAGCAAATGAAAAACATTCATTGAAATTGGCAACATGTGATTTATTTTAAAAGCATTTTATCCCTGACATCGTCCATTAATTTTCCCCTAATGAAAATCCAATGTTTTATTTGATAGATATTATTAACATGTTGAACCTTTTATTTGAAATGTTTGTATAGTATGTATGAATATGTACAGTGTTATGTATTATTTGTATATAATATAGGCTGAGATCTGATGTTGCCGTTAGAGATGAGGAAGGAAATTCTGTCTAGAAACTAAACAACCCATTTTTTTCATATTGTTATACGTCTATCTTGGAGTTAGGTTCATTTCCTTATAGATTTCGCATACTTTACCGTTACTTGAGTCTGTTCTAAATAATTTTCAAATATGATGATTCTTCTTTTAGAATAAGATATCAATATCAAAAAAATATATATATAAGGTGTGTTTGTTCATTATATTTTCATTTCCATCTGAATACAAACCCATCAACTGTCCTCCAAGGTTCATATCATAAAATTCCATTGACGTATATTCTAATATTTACTAAAACCAGAGCCTCAGAGGGTTTCTTAGAGGCTTCTGATCAACATTTTTGAATATGTTAATATCGACATAGTTTTATTTTGTCACCTACATTGTGACGCAGATTATTGTAAAGTATGTCTTGTCCTTGGATCTTTGTTAGTCCGATGAAATAGTATTACGAAATACAACATAAAATTATCCTTTCGATATTTTAAATATTAATATTAATGTAATAACAATAAAATGCATATAATTAGTATTAGTACACATCAATCTTCGTTTGTACTGAATACTGAATCAGATAGTAGAATTTAGTTCTGACTAATCTCATTCATCAACGTAAACACGGAGATAATAAAAAAGATTACCATTCTTTTCGACCGACTTTTCAGTTGGGCATCAATTAAGACGATGTGGTTGAATTTTATTTTTAAACCTACTAAGGTTTTGTATTAATATATTTTTGAATTCTCTTTCTATTTATTTTTTCTGACCTAATTGTTACTTATGCTGCATTAGTATGACATGGTTCGTAAAAATGTAATTATTTTTACTTTACAGTTTTATATCCAAACATAATATAAAATCATTTCTCTTGAACAGAATTATGTAATGTAATATAACTAGTGGGTCTTCGTATTGTTTTCGCAGTAAGATCTCGGGTCATAAAATTTCATAGTCGCCACTGTTTCTTTAGATTCACATTTCTCAACCAGTATGCGGTTACTTGCCAATCAATTTCGACATCGAATGTTAAGTCACTCACTTAATATTAACATTATATCACACAGTTCTAACATAAAGGATAAACATATTTTTATGACATGTCTCAGCAGCTTCACAAACTTGTTTCGTGTGTCCCGTTGCAGGGCGAAGTCCAGTTATGAGCGCATCAGATTGCCTAATACATTTTATTGTCGATTCCATTGAGATTTAATCTAATTGAAGAGTATAATCTATAAATTTATTGTTCAATAGCATGTTATGTTGGAAATAATAAGAGTGAAATAATTTACTAGTTATAATACAACAATTACAATGGCTTATAAATGAATAGTAAGCAGCTAACATGTCGCAAACAGTGTCGTGGTAGACGGGAGATCTGCTTTCTAACAGTTCAAGGCGACGGAATGACGCTATCAAACCATGTTAGTGCATAAAAATCAGTTATATATTATACTATATATAATTGGATCGTCATATTATTTCTTTTATATGAAAGTACTATATTATGCGAAGTCTATGTACGTATTAGCAGGTTTACCGCTACCACCTAAGTTGTTTGAGGAAAGTAAACATTTGGTTTCCGAGTTTCAATACTGTTAAGCTTTTAGGGTCTATTGGGCAAACATGTATTCAACGTTGTATTGGGAACCGTTTCGAGATTTTTTGTATCGTTAGACTTATATATTATATGAATATATGTTAATGCGTTTGTTGGTGTGTCAGGAGACACCACGTGTATATCCACGACACATGAATATTAAAGGACATCACGTTCAATATCACGTGAAGTGTCACACTTATTATTCTTGGGCTTATTAATTGCGTTTGATAAAAAATTAATGTACCAATTCATCGATCGCTGTAATATGTTAATACGTTTTATTCGAGAGTCTATTCAAATTTTGTTTAAATTGCAATAAATTAGGTGACTGATGTAACTTTCTGATAGGCTGTGGTAATATCGACCTTATGTTGATTTGTAATAGAGTTGATTCTTAATTTTAGAGTTAACAGACAACAAAACCCCAGTTCGCTGCCAGTGACACATTGTATAACGATTTGCAGTTTTTGCATAGTTAGCAGTAACCGTGTCTTTGATGATTACGTCAATGACGCCATTTAAGATACTAATAAATATGACCACTTTAATATAAATAAACATTGATCATATAAATATTAAATTAACTAAATACTTCAAATATTAAAATTAATTTATGATCCTATACGTAATATAAAGGGGATAGTTTGAAAAAACATTTATTCAAAATTAGTGATTACGTAACAAAATGAAATGTTCAAAATGATACTATCTAGTCGAATTGAATATTTATCTAACATCGTAACTGTATAGAAGGTATTTGGACGCGCTCTATCGTGATTTGAAGCGATAAGAAAATGTCTGTGATACGAAAAACATTACAATAATGAGAGTATTTTAATGTTATAATAATATTTATCGATCGAGACGAGATATCGTAAGAGGTAGACGTCTGACCGCGGTCGCCACCGTCTGCCTCCACCGCTGGTTTCGTTTTACAACGCGTCGTGAATTAAAAATCACGTATAATTCTTATGTTGATGGCATCAATGTGTCGCCCGTACGTCTATTATATCTTCTCACTTGTAAATTTTCTGTTTTACGATCGCTTGCGAAAAACTCGATCACATTCCCTGTACATCGTATAAATATTGATACAGTAGAGGGAATTATGTAAGCAATAATGCACATTATAGGCTCTGAATACATGTTTAATAGACTGTAAAACGAACGTTCTACATGTGATTCAGGATGTTTTATACATTCGATAAATTATTTTATAAATTTAATCATAAAAATATTTTCAATTCTCAGGTAGAGAAACCGGTTACAGAAGGACTTTCTCATAGAACGCGAGATCAATGGGAGATAGATCGCTCGTCCCTGAAGTTTGTTAGGAAACTTGGTCACGGTCAATTCGGTGAGGTATGGGAGGGTTTGTGGAACAACACCACGCCGGTAGCCATAAAGACGCTCAAATCGGGCACCATGGATCCCAAAGATTTCTTGGCAGAGGCCCAAATAATGAAGAAACTGCGGCATACTAAACTGATACAACTGTATGCTGTCTGCACTTTAGAGGAACCTATTTACATTATCACGGAACTGATGAAGAACGGCTCTCTTCTGGAGTACTTGCAAGGTAACCATATTATTATCACATCCATATACAGGGTGACTGGTGAATTACTATCGATACTTGAGGACGTGATATTTGACGATCATATATGACAAAATAAAAATTAATATAACATAAATATTAATAAACTTCTAAGTAAAGTTAACCAAAAGTTATGTAATTAATTACGCATCGTGTGAACACCCTACAGATTAGGTATACACACACACACACACATACGCGTGCGGCGGCGTGGTGTTGTTTCAGCACGCCGCCGCACGCGTCCACACTTGGAACACTTGGAACGTGTCCACACTTTATTTATTTATACGGAAATTTTGTCAAAAATTAAGTACCTATTTTTTTTACATAATTCGAATGAGAATCATGTACCGAGTATTCTCCTTAAATATTGATAGTAATTCACCAGTCACCCTGTATAATATTCTATCAGTATATGAAACATTTTATAAGAATTTAACGTAATGTTAATTTAATCCAGGCAAAGGTAGAGGTCTTAAGCTCCAACAGCTTATAGACATGGCAGCTCAAATAGCTGCCGGCATGGCGTACCTCGAGTCCCAGAACTACATACACAGAGACTTGGCGGCAAGGAACGTACTGGTCGCTGAACCAAATGTTGTCAAAATCGCTGACTTTGGACTCGCAAGACTTATCAAGGTTTGTAATTTTGAAACTCATTTTCTTTTGTCCTTATAAAATCCTTCGTATTGTCGTTTAAATTCAATTGAACTATTCATGTGCCACAATGGCCAAATACAAAATTTTTCGCTGAAATATATAATATTTTGTCAAGACGGGTCATTTAACCCACTTTGGTAGTAATATGTATAATTGTGCTAAGTGTTAGTTGGTTTTGGTTATAAAATATCTAACAGATGTAAATCAAATACACACAATAACCTGTCAGTAATCCAGTTTTTTTTTACGATGAATAAAGTATAAATACGTTTTTTTTATAATTTTTCTGAGACTAGAAAAAGATAATCGCTTTAATTGGTCCATTGTTAGCTGAGTCGAGATCAGATTACAATGACCGCGTAAAATCAGTTCAATATTCAATATAATAGTTAAGAAAACTGTTTGCAAGTAGTCAACGTCCTAACTCATTTCACTTTGAGGTTAATCACACTGGGTGGCAAAACCCCACACCGCAATATTAAGAGCCGTTAATAGATACCACAAGACCTCTTACAAAGTTGTAACTTATATATGATTTCGAATCGACTGTTGTTAATGTTGAACTTGTATGTGCATACTGTTGTCCCTGATTAATTATTAATAAAAATATCAATAAGGCAATAAAGATGATTCTTCTAAAGTTTAAATAAAACTGCGCGTTTCTACCTTTAGTCCACATAAGCAATTGCACACGAAAATCAAGGACAAAAAAAGTAATTTATAAATAATCTTACAGATCACAAACTATATTTCTATATTGTCTTCTTAATTATGACAGATGCACGTCTATCTTTCTTTGGAACTTTTAATGATTCCTTTAATTTATAATCAGTTTATGATAATTTATATTTTAAAACAAATGTTATAATCCAAGCGTGTCATTGCGGTTGTCTGTGTATTATATCTATAAAAGAATCGTATTTTATTACATTGTAACAGATCATTTTTATATTTCCTGTAAATAAACTTGACGTAATCTAACGGTTTGTTTACGAGCTCTTCGAATCTAGATAAATATTTGATTGAACGAATCAAAAACTCGTTTTATTATTTTTTTATGTCTAAACGATTTGTATTTCTAACATTTCTATGATAATGCATTTGTTTTATTCTTTATCCAATATTATGACATAGACATAAATTGTATTAATTAAATACATTTAATAAAAATATAGTTCAAGGGCCACACGTTACACTTTTTCCTCTATTTTGCCTTTGAAATTGCAAAAGATTTACGATAACGTACTTAATATTCAATATTTGTTTTATAGGAGGACGAATATGAAGCTCGTGTTGGAGCTAGATTCCCAATCAAATGGACAGCGCCAGAAGCGGCCAACTACAGCAAATTCTCCATCAAATCTGATGTATGGTCCTTTGGTATTCTTCTCACCGAGCTGGTCACATATGGAAGAATACCTTATCCAGGTATGTAATCTATTAGATTGTGGCATTTGACACGAGACTTCGTTGACGTAGTTAAAAACATTATAATTTTTTACATAGCTGCTTTAAATATATCTTGCTAATAACAGTGCAATTTTAGAATGTTTCGAGAAAAGTATTGGATCGTATAATTTTATTAAATTTATTTATTGGTTTTATAGAAGAAGTTTTAAAGCAATATTTTGCCATCGATATTTTCTACCCCAAACCGTCATATCGTTGTGTTTTACAGCTTTCCACTCTCAGAACTAGTCAGTCCTAAATTAGGGTATTCGAGTGGACTAAAAAACACTATAGCTAAACAATATTAATATCTATACTATATGTATAGTTTATTTATTTTATTACATACTTATTGGAATTATAATTGCATAGAATACGTCACGGAATGTATAATTAAATAATTAATAATATTTATACATGTTGCACAATTAATATAAGTCATAGTTTAATGTAAATTGTGGAGGGATAAATTACGTTGGTTTGCATTGACGTCTTCAGAAGTTATTTCTTAGCTGATTACTGGGATAAAGTTGATATTTAAAATAACTTAGTAAATTTATCCTTAATCTTTCCCACGATTTTATATCGTACAACCGAATGGAATTTTCAGTCTCTCATACGTAGGTTAAAGCTGTAAATATTTTCTTTTGCTTTAACTCGAAATCTGCTTTTAGTTGTATGGTACCAGACAAAACTTAATTTGATCCCAAAGAAAAAATACCATCGCATTAGTCTCATGGCCTTTTAGACCTTATAAGATGTCTATTGAAATTAAATTATTTCGCTTACAGTGTACAACTGTTTGACAAATATTATATATTATATTCTTAGATACACCCGCATGATAATACCTATAAAAAAACTGATAATATTTTGATCACTTAGTTCCCTGCAATGAGCTTATTAGATATCATCTAACATTTACTTATTTTTACTTTAGTTTTTCTTATAAATTCAAACAATTATATATAATAATTTTATTTATATATGTCAGGTATGTCAAACGCGGAGGTTCTTCATCAAGTGGAGCACGGGTACCGCATGCCCTGCCCACCGTCCTGCCCCGCGCCGCTATACGACATCATGCTGGAGTGTTGGCACAAGGACGCCCTCAAGAGACCCACCTTCGAGACGCTGCAGTGGAAACTGGAGGACTTCTTCACTATGGAGAACTCGGAGTACAAGGAGGCCTCCGCCTACTGAGCCCGGCCCTCCCTGCCGACACACCGACGCGCGCACGAACATCATGTACGGAAATTATACTACATATAAGCAATACAAGTTGTTCAGTACATAGTACAGACGATTCTGTTAAAAGTCATCACTGACATAAAAAATATTTATTATAATCATTCGGTTGCAGACCCCTGGCCTATATCACATGCCGCCGGAGCTGCAGATGTTACACACGAGCACATCGATGCAGCACCTGCAGGTGCACCACGCGATGCACCCGCACGTGCACCACCACGCGCACGTGCAGCATGGACACGTGCAGCATATGCAGCATGGACACGTGCAGCACGGGCACGTGCCGCACATGCAGATGCCGCACGCCGCGACACTGGGTCAGCTGTGCCACAGACACAACACACTGTACCGCGCGCCCTAGACCACCCGCGACGCACCAGCACCCCTCACACACACATACACACCTCTCACACATCATACAACATCTATCAAGCCTTTGTCGCTACATTCAACTGTCGTGATACTTGTAACACTATATCATGAAGCACATTATATTATAATGTCTACGATTCACTCAAAGTCCTTGCGATGTATGCTCAATCTTATGTAATATATCTAAGATCAATGTCTCGTTTGTGCGACCTACGAATGTATTATGATGATGCAAATTTTGTAAACGGACGTGACTCCTTACCCCAATGTTGTAGCGTATAAGTTAGTAACGATTGATCCGTGTAGAGGGTAATGAAATTGTTTTCCCAAAGGACTTATCATCAGTAATTGATACGTACTAGTATTACTCGATAAATGTTCAAGTTTTTTGCTTGTCGTCGCTTCGTATTATTAATGTTTATTAACTTTACATACTCTCAATGTCCGATGTCGTACACAATTTTATTGCCCTCCGATCGACAGTAAGTTTAGTTAGACTGCCTACAATTTTTTCTAAATGTATTTAGAGTACGATAGGTTATATAACATTTCTATAACTAATAAGTCGATGTACGTTCTGAACGCGGTATCTTAACGGTTTAACGTACAGCTTCTTAGATTATAATGAAATTTATTAGAACGTTCACAATATACTTATGTATGAATCGATTCGTTCGGGGCTGTGTGATGCTTGAATTAGTTACACTTAGTTTGGGGGGCGCTGCTGTGCGGTGGGGGGAGTTGGGGGCCGGCCACGTGTGCGTGATCAGGAGGAAATTTAAGTTCGGCAGGGAACATGCATGCATACATGCATAGCATGACGTGAGATTTATGTTGGAGACATCGGATTAGGTATCCTCAATTTCGTGTGACATGATCTGTGTATATAACGATAATGGTGATGCCAAAAATCCTATTAAAGAACTGAATTATTATTTTTTTTATATATATGAATACGTTATTAACTGTTCTGAGGGTATTTTAGTGTTAGGGAATTTATTTATGTAATTTATAAAGCTACTTAGATTCCGAATACGCTGACGTGTTTTTTTCTGAACTGTGACGCGTTCTAATCTTTTATTTATGTGAAGTGCGTTAGGGGAATTTCTTACTTATTTATCTTAACCTTTTAGTTTAAGTATTGTGTAGCAATACTGAAGCTTGATTGATATTTAATTTGTGCCAAGACTTAATTTAAGTGAAAGTTTAATATCGCCACAAATAACCTACGATAATTTAATCAGAATAACGGAATGAAAAAAAATCTAAATAATTGTAAAATAGGACTTAATTGGCCTAAGAAATTAATATTTTTGAATATAACGTAGGTTTTGTATCCTAATCGCTTAGATTTAATTCGTATTTATGTGTCGGGTTATAATAACGACGTCTTTCTACTCATTCGTTACAACTGCACGTCTGTATGTAAATGTGCAATATTTATTATATTTTAGACCCGATGCCTTTTATATCGTCGGGGCCCTGTAATTCCTTGAAAACCGTTTCATCCTCAGAACAATTAAATGCAATGTTTTTTGATATCACTGCAATCCAGATGTTTTTATGTGAATTTTGTCGCACTCAATGTAAATAGTACCGAATGTAGTTCGCTTTAAGAGTGATATTAGATTGTTACTAATGAAACAGAAACCAAGTACTGCCGATGACTTGAAGTCCACTTACACAACCATTCCAAGCAGATCGCGATATAAAGTAATGTTTTAGTATTTGACTAGCGCGATTTTAATGACTTATATTGACGGCGCACAAATCTGTAGTTCTAAATGAATTCTTTATAAGGCGCCTCTGATATCTACATTTTGATGTCACAAAATTCGTTGTCCTCTCACCTTTAAATGGAATCGAAATAGAAAATTGAAGTTTAACGAAACGTTCTAGATTTAATTCTGAAAATGTTTAATACACTTAGTTTATAGATAAACAGATTTTAAATATTTCATATAAGATACCTTTGTCCCTACTCGACTTCTTTATATTTTGGTATTGCAATGTGAATAGAGCAAATTAAATAGTGAATTAAACATCGACCACATAGTTACGTAATATCATCTCCATATTAATTTAAGTTCATACATTCTAACGTATAACCTTATCCCCAAATGACTATTTACTCCGTATTCTTTTTATTTTATATATAATTTATTGTTAAGTGTTAAGTTATAGCTGTATAAAGTGCTTAAGGCTTTTGCTTTTGCAGTGGCTAAGTTTTTTTGCTATCTTATGGGAATGATTCGTATTTTATTATTAGTATTCGTATTTTATTTAGTTAGCCAATTTTAAGTATATAAAGTATACAATGGCGCCATCACAATTATTTTGAAAATTATTCCGATCAGAACTAGGTTAGTATATGAAGAGAGCGAGTGTTAGATATATGTTAATTAATTGTTGCTGTGTTGTCACACGTACGGACTGTCAGTTTGATCGTAACGCGACTGACGTCACTTGATACTGTTCAATGAGTAAGGTCTTATTACCTCCGAGTATCAATTAAAAACTATTTTAAGTTCCCCCCGGCTGGTATTACACTACTAATTGCGTTTATATTTAATTTACCTTTCATATCCATTTTTTTTAGATATAAAATTACAGTCGACCGGCTATTGGTAGTGTAATGCCAGTGGTGAATGGTTATGATAACTATATTTCACTTATTTGTAAAAAATTTTTTTAACACAACAATAAATATAAATGTGAAATACGAATTGTTTTATTTATAACCAGTGTAACAAGTTATGTTAAGTTGACTAATTTTTCACAAATATTTCTTATTCTTGTCTTGTAATGTTCGTTTAATATGTTCTCTTTAACTTGGCATAACTGTGACACTTCAGATTCCAATCTTTCCAAAATATTACCAATATTAAGATCCATCTTAGCTTTTTTATTCACTCTATATTCATCCTCATTGTCAAAGGACATATCAAAATCTTCTGAATTGAAATCACATTCACTTATTTTTGTTGTAAATTTTGCTACATCGATACTTTGTATACATTTATGTGAATATCTGTATTCTGATACAGATTGCAGTTTCTGTTGCCACTCATAATTATTATGAAGTATTGATTTAAATTGTTTGATATTACTACATGCCTCTTGAAGTGTTTTTTCTTTATAGAACATCTGGGTGAAGAACTTATCAAAATCCTTGTTTGATATAATGACTGAATAAACATATTCTTTAACATCACTCTCAAATAAATATTTAAATGTTAGTACAATACTATCATTTTGACTTCTTCCTTCTTTTCTGACGACCATCTTGCAGAATAATTTAACCAATACTATTATTGTTTCAATATTTCCTAGCATCAACAAATCTGCTATCACATGTACTATCTGTGGACACAAAACATTTCTTATGTTATGCCAGCAATTAAAAATATATTTGAAACTACTAAAAGAAATTTACCTTGAACATCTGAGATTTATCAGAAAATCTTTCATAATATGATTCAGTCAAAGATACTAAGGCGGTTAAAAATCTAAAATACAAAACAGATCCCATATCAAGATATTTTTCCAGATTTATGTTGTTAGTTTTTGGGCAGACCTTACACCATGCAATAACTAAAACATTTTCGACTCTTGAATCACATTCTAAGAATTCGCATGTTGAAGCCAGTTTCATAATTTTCGTCTGAAACAAAAATTTAATTATTTAAATTACAATTTCATTTTCATTACGTATAATATTAATTAAAATATTTATACCATGTCTTGTATTTGCTCCCTTTGTAGATTTTCATTATGTATTTCAGTCATATTCACCATTTTCTGTATCACAACTTTTCTTGCTGACATTTGTAAATTTTCTGGTAAATTTCTTATTTTCAGTATTGCCCAAAGATCATAACTTTTTTCATCATAAATACTAAACTGCTTGTAAATTTGAAGTTTTTCATGATATTGTAGTATCTTAAATAAATTTGCTATAGTACAAGCTAAATTAGAACTTTGTGGTGAGAATGGAAATGCTGTATTTCCTTCAAGCTTGTAATTTAATTGTATGAGGCCTAGTAATGTATTTAATTGAAGTTGACTGCTTCCAGATCTATAAAATAGTTACAAAAAACAAATAATTAATAACAAATATTACAGAAAACATACTAGTTATTATTCTTAACTTTCTACATAACTGATGCATATTTCAATCAATAAAAATAGTTAACTTTTACCAAAATCATTTTAAAACAATTTTTTAGTTAAGTAACAACAAAAATTTATCCATCCTCATAAACATATTTATAATATAAGTATAAAGATTTGCTTAATATTTTATTAATTAAATATAATAAATTACAACAATAACTTACTTGCACAATAAAACCCACAAATTGGAGCAGAACACAGCACTAACACAATCTGTGCATAGTATAATTTCTATTAACATTTTCTCCAACTTCGCATAACATTGAGAACTTAAACAAGATGAGGCTTTTAATGAATTTATCAACAAATGTTCAAAGAGGCCATAAATTATCTCATTACTTTTATATGAAAATTCTAAGCTCATATTTAAATATTTGTGACCTGTAAACAAAAATAATAGTATTATTTTTATTCAATTTAATTATTATCATAAACATATAACACTCACATTGAGGTAGAATTGAGATGATGTTTTTGATCATGTTCAAACTAATTTCATTTGTATTTGTTTGTGAAGGAGCAGCTTTCATTATTTCTGCGACCAGTAAAATGTATTTCAAGATTTTCAAGTCCTCAGTGTTGTTGAATTGTATTGAATTGACATACTGTTAAATTAAAAATAGATGCATTATTATATCAAAAAAATAGTATTAAAAAAATCATGAGTCTTAAATCTCACTTTGATAAAATATTCTTCTACAACTAGTGTGGAGATAATTGCCTCAGATGGTGTAATTAAATGTGTATTTATAACATTTAGAACTTCAGTTTTAATCTTATCGTTAAGTGCATAATAGTTGCTGTTGTACCTGAAATTAAGCAAAGATTAACAAAAATTCTGAGCTACTATTCAAATCTCTAATCAATATCTGGCTTACAGAAGTATTTCTTGGAGTACATCCACAATATCTTCATAGTTGTTCCTTGAAGTACATTTAAATATTTTACATATCCTCAATAGTATTTTAAGTGAGAAACTTGCCACTTTCAATGATCTTATTACTATTTTGTCTTCATTTGCCTAAAAAACAATAATTAAATATGTAGTTAAGTTAATGCTCCATAGAATGGTTAGAACACAGAATCAGATATAATGTCACAGAACTATCATCATCATTATCAGCATAACAGAGCCCACTCCTGAGTAAAGGCCTCTTCTCAAATGGAGAAGATTACACAGTACTATAGATTTAGGAAAAGATTAAAGTTTAAAACAGTGAATGTTACCTCAATTGCCGTTTTCATATTATTTCTGACAATGTCCACTAAGACTTTAGTACTTTTGGTGTAAATATCTCCATCTGATAAAAAGTTTGAATATTTTTCACAAATCATTGTGTAGGCTTTCCACTGCTCAGCCATTGTTTTAACATCCAAAGCCTGCACTAGCTCTCCGATCTTCAGATTTATACTCAAAGCTACATAAAAAAGTAATAATTTTAGTTAAGTCTATGTTTATAATCTGATACAAAAGTAAAGTAATACCTTATACTGAACAAAGTCTTTTGATTAATCAATAGTAAATACAACATACTCTCCATAAAAATATCATGTTCTTCCTTTTCAGTCATATCAAATATAAAATTTTTCTCCAAAACCATAAGATATGTCAACTGTAGTTCGTGACAGTTTCTGAATAAATCCTTTAACTGCTTCTCAAACATTCTTATATGACTTCCATATATACACTCGCTGAAAATAATTTTTATATTTTATGTATTAAAGACTTAAGAAATATCAAAAAAAAAATTAACTTAGTAATATATTTGGTATAAAATTTATCATAGTGCAAGGAAGAGTTATATATTAATATTTACCTTTCTTTACAATGAGAGAAAACTGAAAGTATAATATTTCCAGTTGTTGTTGAAAATGTTCTCATGGCACAACAAGTCATAGCAATTGATTCTATTATGGTTTTAATTAAATTTGATACTACTTGGAGGATGAACACGGTTTCTTCCAAATATAAGCAGATTTTAGCAACAGATGAATCTTCAAGTAAGTAAGCTATAATATGAAAACCCTAGAACATACAAAAAGCGTGTAATAATAAAAAGGTACCTAATAATTTAGGCAGAATAATTAATATATTTACCTGAAAAACACAGTTACTACACTCATCTAGAAAAGAGGCAAAGTTATTGAAACTTTTTTCATCGATCTGATATTTTACATCTTTCTTTATTTTGGAAACGAGGGCTTCGTAAGATTCAATATCAATCTGATTATCATATAGATTAAAGAAATTCTAGATGTTCAAATATTTGTACCTATATGTAGTAAATAACATAGTAAAAAAATATTTAATAACAATAAAAGGATACTGTAGAAATATCGCGAAAGTGGACACTACTTTCAGAGAAAATATCGGAGCTTTGTGAGTTATCCATCTTGTAAGTAATTATTGACCAATACTAGTTGAACTTTATTCATGCTTATCAATGGTATTCTTGTAACTAAATGCGTTATTCATAATTTAAACAAAAAGGACATTTAAAATTTTCAATAATACAATAATTCGCGCCTGTTTCACTGTCAGTTATTGAACATTGACGTTTGAATGTTGACATTGCAAATAAAAATATTGTCACATAAAACTACAAAGGTATGCAGCATCATTAACTGATTTTGACAATATCTTTTAAGTTTTAAATTTTAATAATGGAAATCAAATAATTTTCATTCTGCAAGACCAAATTGACAAAATCTGATAATTCCAATTAATTGTATACATATGGAAAATTACAACTTGTTCTTCATTTAATCCCTTTCAATGAGGATTTATGAATAAAAATAAGGCTGCCAACTGTCCCACAGTGCTAGACGAAATCCCACTTTGAAATTATTAGTAACATAGTCCCACAAAACGTTGTATGCGTCCCGCATGTCCCGCATTTCTATTTTTCTAGCAGACTTCTACACAACACTCACACGCACCCACGGTCAACAGTGCAGGAACACAGATTTATACCTATAATAGCGACAAGCCAAGTATCGCGCCCGCGCTAATCTCGTTTTCTTTTTTTCTTCTGAACACATGACGCGTAAGAGAGTACTTAAACTTTATATGGGCAGTTGCCAAGATTTTTATGACATTCTCAATAAAAATCCTGAGCTTGTTAAAAAGTGTCCAACTCCAGTGATAAATATAATTTTAAAAATTAATGACTTCTACCTAAGTTTTGTATTTTTATTAAATCGACTAATCCCTAACACCCCTCCCCAGCCATTCACGAAAGGTTAAGTCCCGCATTCAGTTTTCGGAAAGTTGGCCGCTTTAAACCTAAAGTATGATTTAAATTATTTTACTACTATTCCAGACATTCATGAAACATTGTTCAGTCAATTTTTTATATTAATAATTATAATTTCTTATCAACGTACTGTCAAATTTAAGTCTTATCAGTTATCTGTAAAATGTAAACTTTTTTAATGTCAAATGTGATTGGCACGTGTAGCGCACATTGAATTACCGGTAGCGATGTTTTTATTTTTTAGTTATAAAATATATTTTTTTTAGAATTCAAAAATGTGTGAGATATTATTGGTGGCTTTGAAAAACGTTGAACTAGAAACTACAAACTCTGAGCTTGCAAAAACATGTCAACATGCAGTGGTAAGTGAAGAGATATGCACTCTTTGTTGTTCCAGCCCTTATATATAAATGTATAAAAAGTATACAATAATAAATTAAAAAATATTTTCAGGAATCATTGAAGAATGATGCAATAAAAATAGATGTTCTGATAGAAAAGCTATCAGAATTTATACTTAATTTTGAAGATGTTATACTGTTCAAAAAATATTTGCCAAATTTACTTCTGGCATTGGTTTCGGCGAGAATTCCACTAACAGTTGTATTTTCTAATCAGAATTATGATTTATGTACAGACTTGGAAAAGACTCGTCATTTAGAGTATTCAGTTGTCTTAGGACTTCTTAGTGATCATCCTGATATTTTGCAGTAAGTAGTAAAAAAGTCATATAAAATATTTAATGGATCACACAAAAATGTAACTTTATTTGTATCACTTACTCTTATATTTCCTCATCAGGTATGCACTTAAATACTTTCAAATTAATTCAATACCTCCATATGATGTTTTCATTCATCATGAAGACTCCTACAATGTGGCACCAAAGAAGAGACGATTACTTGACTTGAGACAAAAGATTACCGATCACCATATAGTAAATTGTTGTTATGCTTTACTGTCAAAGTTACCGAATGAGCTATCATCAAAATGGGATTGGACAAAGTTCATAATAAATTTTAGTAGCCATGAAGATATGAAAATAAGATGGTAAGTTTTTCTAAATACAGATATGCAAATGTATGAAATATAAATTAAATTTAATACTTATTGTTGCCAGGATGGTTAAAGAATGTATGGTTATTCTAACTAACATGACAGAGGTCCAATCACATTTGCTAACCGAAAACCTTAAATTGAATGAGGAAGATGATCTTAAAAACATTCCATACTCTAAGGATATATACATAATGAATGGTACTGATGAAGAATTAAATGTAAATACAAGTAATGTTGTACATATCAATGGTATAATGTTACCTGTTTATGATAAAACCAATATACAACCCGGAAAGCTAGTTCAAGTTAAAAGTACTGTGAATAATTTAAGGAGTTTAGCTCTTGCTGTAGCTTCAGGTAAGCATTAAGCATCATTTTAGTAATCTTTTGTAAATAAATATTATTAAAAAAAGGCAAACAGAATTAATTTTGAATATACATATAGCAGTAGGTACATTACTATTTACCGACTGCTACTGGCCGCCTTCTCACTACTAGTATTATGTCCTACTATTATTATCACTTAAATTATTTCAATATATTATTTTTTAGTGTATCATTAAGCTCTCTTGGTAAATCACTTATGACTGAAATGAGTGAAACGACTTCAATTACATTAATGTAATCTTTATTGTCATTTTGATGTGACTTTGTTTTATCTTCAAAAGTCTTATTTTTACACAAACATGTAACTTGTACTCACAAGTGAAAAAATACTAATTTCTTTGTGGTGTTTTGTGTTACAGGTCAAGCCTTATCACTTATGGGTCCCGTGGGTTCCGGTAAGACATGTCTAGTTGAACACTTGGCAGCCATCACTGGTCGGAAAGGAATTGCCTTTAAGAAGGTGCAACTTGGAGATCAGACTGATTCAAGAATGTTGCTAGGGTCCCATCAATGTACAGATGTTCCTGGAGAATTTATATGGGCACCAGGGGTATTAACTGAGGTAAATAGTAAAAATTTCTAATCTTTTTGAATCTTAGAAATAATATGTAGCAAAATATAATCATTAATAGACTAAAACATGCAAAAGTATATTTCTTGTCTTTAATTACTAATTGAAAAGATTTATTGAAAGGAAACTTGCGCTAGTTGATAAGTTTATTAATTAAGTTTAATTTACTGTTTAAAGGCTGTTCAAAATGGGCACTGGTTATTGTTAGAAGATATAGATTGTGCTGCATTAGATGTAGCATCTACATTAAGTTCTTTGTTGGAACGGAATACATTGTGTGTGCCTGGGTATAGAGATTCCTTGCCGGTCACACCTGGTTTTCAACTATTTGTTACACAGAGGTAAATATGACTTCATTTGTCAAACAAACAAAACTTATGTTGATAATAACGTAATAATGCAAAAATATTTCCCTTTTTAGGACCATGGTTACAAATTATGGATTTCAAAAGAAGATGTCAAATTCAAGCACACTGTTACAAAAACATTTGACCCAAATCAACGTTGAGCCTTTATCGAGGAATGAGCTAGCTGAAATTATACAAACTAAGTATCCAAATTTGTCAACAATTTGCTCAAGAATGATTGAAGTTTTTATGATGTTCTCTGTAGGTAGTCATGATACTTCATTACACGCTACTTCTGGGTCGGAAAAAGATAGTAACAATGTTGTGCTTAGAGGTTCACGTCTTATTTCAACAAGAGATTTGATGAAGTGGTGTGCGAGAGCCGTTGTAGAATTTAATGTATCTAGTCCTGATTCAGCCATTAAAGTTCTTGAAGATGCTCTGGATATATTTACGTGTTCTATATCCTCGCCAGAAAACCGATTAGAGTTGGCTAAGAAAGTTGGTACATGCTTGGGAATAGTTGAAACCAAATCGGAGTTCTATGTAAAACATTACAAACCTAACGTGTCCCTACATCCAAATGTACTGGAAGTAGGAAGAGCCAAAGTACCAAGACTTGAAAAAAGTGTAGAATCGATTAATTTCGATAATAAGCAAGTTGTGTTCTCTTTCACCCGTCAATCTGCTTGTTTATTAGAAAAGATAGCCTGTTGTGTCAACTCGAACGAGCCGGTTCTTTTGGTGGGAGAGACAGGAACTGGTAAAACTTCATCAATACAATATCTAGCAAGACAAACTGGTCATAAACTCGTTGTGATCAATATGAATCAACAATCAGATTCAGCTGATTTATTGGGAGGCTACAAACCGGTTGATCTAAAATACGTAATCAGACCAATTAAACTAGAATACATAAAAATGTTCAAAGCTTTCTATAATGTCGAGAAAAATAAGAAATTTATCAATCATATAGACACCTGCTACGACACTGAAAACTGGACAGCTCTATTGGCCTTAATGAAGCAAAGTCATAAAGCAGCTGTCACTAGATTAACAAATGAGAAAAATCACGACCTGTTAAAAGTATGGGTGGCGTTTGGGCATAAACTTACAAAATTAGAGCAGCAAGTGAAATCCGCATCAAGATTGACGTTTGCGTTCATAGAAGGCTCATTGGTTAAAGCAATGCAACAGGGACATTGGGTATTGCTCGATGAAATAAACTTGGCTTCAGCTGAAATATTGGAATGTTTAGCGGGTTTGTTGGAAGACAAAAGTGAGAGTATTGATTTATTAGAAAAAGGAGATAAAGTGCCTATAAAAAGACACCCTGATTTCACTTTATTTGCCTGCATGAATCCCGCTACTGATGTGGGAAAGAAAGATTTACCCGTCGGCCTAAGGAACAGATTTACGGAGTTCTTCATAGATGAACTTAAAGAAAGAAATGACTTAATGCTTCTCATCGGTGATTATTTATATCACATGAATCTTAGTGGAGCAACTTTAGAAGCTATTTACACTTTCTATTCCAGTATTAAGAAGGAAGCGAAACTTAACCTAGTTGATGGTGCAGGTAAGAAAATATACCAATATAGTTTTAAATTTTTCTTTCGTTTCGAATAGAAATAACGTATGTAATATTTTTGTAGGAAATGCTCCTCACTACTCATTGAGAACTCTATGTAGAGCATTAACAGCAGCTGCCAGAGCAAAATGTGGCACCGTGGCCAGATCACTGTATGAAGCATTTTGTCTCTCTTTCCTTACACAACTTGACAGATCATCACATCCTAAAGTAGAGTCCATGATTGCCAAGTAAGTACATTTTATGTATAAGATATAAAAAATAATTGTTCAAATATGTACATATTCATTTTTTCATATTCAGAGCCGTTATCGGAAAGAAGAATGTCAATTCAATTCTCAAGCAACAAATACCGGAACCAAAAGTTGATGGTCAAAACTATTTGCTGTTTGAAGGACATTGGATACCACAAGGTAAACTGCCAATCGACATCCCAGACGGATATATTTTGACATCGACTGTACGAAAGAACCTTCGAGATATTGCGCGGATTATTTCGTTGGGACGTTTGCCTGTTTTACTTCAAGGTGATACATCAGTTGGCAAAACTTCGCTCATAACGTACATCGCAAAAGCATCAGGAAATTATTGCGTCAGAATCAATAATCATGAGCACACAGATCTGCAAGAATATATCGGTTCATACGCTACAGATTCTACAGGAAATTTGGTGTTTAAAGAAGGAGTTTTGGTTGAAGCTATGAGGAAAGGCTATTGGATTATACTCGATGAATTAAATTTAGCACCTAGTGATGTTCTTGAAGCGCTAAATCGAGTCTTAGACGATAATAGAGAGTTGTTTATAGCTGAAACTCAAGAAGTTGTGAAAGCCGATCCAAACTTCATGTTATTCGCTACCCAAAACCCACCAGGATTGTATGGAGGACGTAAAATGCTATCTAGAGCTTTTAGAAATCGTTTCGTTGAACTACATTTTGATGAAATACCCAGAGCTGAGTTGGAAACAATACTGCACCAACGATGTCATATACCGCCTACATATTGTAAGAGAATGATTGAAGTAATGGCGGAGCTACAAGTAAGAAGACGTGGCTCGGCAGCTGTTCAGGGAAAAGATGGTTTTATTACTCTGAGAGATTTGTTCAGATGGGGTCAAAGGTATAAACATGCCTCGAAAGAGATGTTAACTACAGAAAAATTCTACGATTGGGATCAACATATAGCCGACGAGGGTTATCTAATATTAGCTGGTAAGGTCCGACAAACAGATGAAAGAAATATTATTGAAGAAGTTATAGAAAAACATATAAAGAGAAAAGTAAATCCTGATAATTTATTTAGCTTGCACGAAAATACATCTCCGGTAACAAAGTCTATATTAGAAATGATTCTTGGTAACCAACTAGACGAATTCTCTCATATTGTTTGGACATTTAACATGAGAAGACTTGCTGTACTAATCGCAAAAGCTTTCATATTCTCTGAGCCAGTATTATTAGTTGGAGAAACAGGCTGTGGAAAAACTACAATATGTCAAGTTTTGGCTACATTGAGTAAGAGGAATTTATTATCAGTTAACTGTCACATGCACACAGAGAGCTCGGACTTTTTGGGTGGATTGCGACCAGTCCGGCAATATAATAACGATGGTAGATTATTTGAGTGGGTTGATGGACCTTTAATAAAGGCAATGGAAAATGGTGACCTGTTTCTGGCCGATGAAATTTCGTTAGCAGATGATAGTGTTTTAGAAAGACTGAATTCGTTGCTGGAACCCGAAAGGCAGCTCGTTATTTCCGAGAGAGGAATGGAAGATAGTTCAGACATCGTTGTTATAACAGCCGTATCCAGTTTCCATTTTATCGGCACTATGAATCCCGGCGGTGATTTCGGTAAAAAAGAATTGTCACCTGCACTCCGTAATCGCTTTACAGAAATTTGGTGTGATCGTGTTAGTTCTAAAGAGGACCTGCAAAGAGTGTTAGAAAAAAGTGTTGGGAAAGGAATCGCTTTAGGCAATCAGGAAGACGGGAGTTCAGGCATTGGCAATTGTATATTAGACTTTACAAATTGGTTGAAAAATTCAGAAGTGACCAATAAATTTCCTTTTAGTATACGAGATTTACTATCATGGGTCCAATTTATTAATGTGACCGTATCTAAAGGATTATTAGATGTGCCAGAAGCATACGTACATGGTGCTTGTATGACATTTTTGGACTGTTTTGGCACAACCCTCACTGGACACATAGAATCTGATACACTACTACTATTACGTAAAAATGCTATAAATTTTCTGTTAAACCAAATAAAGACATTCGGGAACGAGTATACTGAAAGTTTAAAGGATACACTTAGTAGCCAAAACGCCATTTTGAATTCCGAAATTAGTAATAACAAGTTTGGAATCAAACCATTTTTTATTGACTGCGGACCATATTCGCGTGACAGCGACAAAACATTTACATTTACTGCACCTACCACCGGTTCCAACACACTACGACTACTTCGTGGTTTGCAGTTAAACAAAGCAATACTTTTGGAAGGGAATCCAGGGGTAGGCAAAACAAGTTTAGTAACAGCTTTAGCCAAGTCCTCTGGTCATAAGGTTATACGCATTAACTTGAGTGATCAAACGGTGAGTACAACAAGTACAATTAATATAATAATTTGATACGATTTTTTTATAATAAAATATATCATATTTTTTAGGACATCACTGATCTCTTTGGAACAGATTTACCTTCTGAAGATGGATCCTTTACCTTTAAAGAAGGTGCTTTTCTAAATGCCCTTCAAAATGGAGACTGGATACTTCTAGATGAGTTAAACTTAGCGCCACAAGCGGTGCTCGAGGGATTAAACGCTTGTTTGGATCACAGAGGCGAAGTGTTTATACCTGAACTTGGAAAAACTTTTAAAGTGAAGAAGGAAACCAAGTTATTTGCTTGTCAAAATCCTTTGAAACAGGGTGGAGCCAGAAGAGGATTGCCTGTTTCATTCCTTAATAGATTCACTCAAGTCTACATCGATACGTTAACTAAAGAAGATCTTCTATATATTGTTAAATCACAATTTTCTAATTTACCCCAAGATATATTGAACAAAATAGTTGAATTCAATTGCAAAGTGGCTCATGAAATTTGTGAAATACAAACTTGGGGTCATAGAGGCGGACCTTGGGAAATGAACTTGCGAGATATACAAAGATGGTGTGAAGCACTTGTAAAAGATTTTGAAGACGGACAAGGAATTTCTCCAGGGAAATACGTCGATATGTTGTATGTTAATCGTATGCGTACAATGGAAGACAAACAAAGAATGATTCAAGCGTTCGACGAAATATTCTGTCCTATTTATCGAAGAAGTGATAGTCACCCTCAGGTAGATATCAAAGAGGACGAAATTATTATAGGAGATGTCATGATAAAGAGAAACAAAGACAAGGCTTTTAAAAATAGAAGAACAGTTAAAACCAATTTGCTGCTGTTAAGAAATCAGTTGTCAACTTTAAAGGCGCTCGCACAAAACGTGAACATGAATTGGTTATCCATATTAGTAGGTCCGACAGCTACTGGGAAGAGTAGCATTGTTCAAGTATTAGCAGACTTGACTGGAAATGATCTTCACGTAGTCCCAGTTACATCAGCTATGGACGTCTCAGACCTTCTTGGTTTCTTTGAGCAAGTCGATTACAATCGAAACATTGAGAATTTGTATGAAGATATAGAAACCGCAACGATTCAGGTTGCCAGAGATATATGGATAAAACAAAACACAGAAGGATGGAAATCAAATAGGTTACTTAGTAATTTGCATCAGTACAGATCGATTCAATCCAACTCCACAGATAAGAAATTTTCTAGCGACGACATAGAGCTTTTCAATAAAAAAATTAAATTTCTTCTTAACCATTGCAAGAAAATACAGGAATCTGCTAAATTCTATTACGTTTCAACGAACAGTGTTGAAAAAATTGTGCATAATTTAGAAAAATTACAAAACAGGGTATCAAAATTATCTTCAGTGAATGCAGGCGGTAAATTTGAATGGGTGGATTCTTTGCTTGTAAAAGCCATGGTTGAAGGATCCTGGCTTTTGTTTGATAACGTGAATCTAACGTCATCAGCTGTTTTAGACAGGCTGAATGGTTTATTAGAACCGAATGGCGTCCTTAGTGTTCCAGAGAGAGGTGAGATAAGTGAAATTAAACCACATCCAAACTTCAGGGTATTCTTTACAATGGATCCAAAATACGGAGAAATCTCTAGAGCCATGAGGAACAGAGGTGTAGAAATTTTCTTATATCGACCGGATGACTTGGATCTGAGGTTATCAGAAACAATGGACTATCTAGACTTGGTTGCTTTATTATCATCCTGTGGGCTTCCGAATCAGTATCATGACATATCCATAAGATGTCATGAGTCCATGAGTGCTTTTATTCAAGGTAAACTGAGTATGGGTAATTTTATTAGTATTTATGATTAATAATTTACTAAAAAATCTTATGTGATATATCATTTCATTACAGGATTAGAAAGACCAACGATTTCTCATCTGCTACAAGCCGTTTATTTAACGTGGCAACAAATGGTACGTGGGATTTCATGCAGGACAGCGTTATTAAACGGTTTTTCAGATGTTTATATTAAACCAAGAACCGGCGGTGACTTTTCCTCCTCCGTAAACACATCGTTAGCGGAAATGAAAAATAATATGTTGAAAGCCTTAGAATTGGAATTAAGTTCCGAAAAATATGAGCCGATTGTTAGCAAAGATGTCAGCCATACATTAACAATAAAAGGTCTCGCGACGTACTCAGCATATGAAATCACAAAGCAAATTGCTTATTTAGCAATAAAACAAGCAAATGTTGAAATGTCTGAAAGTACATTATATCCTGTATTTAGTATTCTTACATCATACCAGAAGTGTCCATCAGAATTATTAGAAACGATTCATTTTATAATAAATCAAGGTATTCAGAAACATAACAAAAGTTATCTGAAATCTTTATCGTGGGGTTTGAACAAGCAAGCTTATGAATATTTCAAGACGAGAGAAGTTATGGATATGTATAAGAGATTTTTCCCAGAGGCATATAAATTAAATGAAGATGATGTTTATGACCTAAACACAAATTTTATTCTACTGTATATCCAATTAAAAGACGTTGAACTAAGCGGTACGTTGAAAAGTACTGGCTTTTCTGCTTTGGATTATTCGAATGCTGTATCCCAAGGAAAGTTGACAGACGATTTTGTAGAGTATCCAATACTCAAGAATTGCAAAGTTTATCTTAAAGTAATAGATAAATATATAGAAAATACAATTAAAGCGGTTGGACCATCGTTGACTGATAAAGCGGTGGGCTCAATAATGCAACTACTAAATTGGAGAGAAAGATTAATTAAGATCACTAGTATGCCTATATTTGAAACATCGAAAAGTAAAAAGACTCCTATTTTGAAAGAAGAGATCATTCCATTCTTAAATGTTCATAGTAAATGGGTCCAAAAGTATTTGCTTGGAGGACTTTTCAAATTGCTAGGTGGAAAGAATGTTTCGAAGAAGTTCTTAGTTGAAATGGATAAACTGAACTTGAACATTGCAAAGGATAATACGAATGTTGCAAAAGTTAGCAAAAAACTCAGAAAGTATTACGGTCAACCAAAGTTGTATAAAAACCAGGAAGAATACGAATTATGTATTGCCAGAGAAAAAATTTACAATAAAATGAATTTGGACATGCATGAACCACTCGACCGACAATTAAGCAACATATCTCAAATTTATAAACCAGATATATCTTTAGCATATGACGTACCAAATCAAGAAACAATTGATGCAATCGAAGAAAAGCTTTCATTATTGACATCAAATACTAAGTCAGAAAAATTGCTATCAGAAGTGAAACTTCTTCCTATCAATGCATACGTAATACAGAGAATTATAAACTTATTGCAACCGCATTTTCTAGAAATAATTAACAAGTTCTCCGATGAGGACTACGAATTTGAGAATGATATCCGTTTTAACATTCAAGAAATTATGTCTAGTTTAATTCATCTAGGAAAAGTAATCAAAGGATTTCCACCGGCCTTACTGAATCAGTTGCAAGTTATAAGAACAGTTCTTGAAACAAATAAAGAACTCGATAATGGGTACGTATAATTCAACAATCACTATTAATTGACAATAATTTTATTTAATTAATATTTTCTCATTTTTAGAATATCTTCGTTGCCGGTTGGCTTTTGGATAGAACTGAACAGAATGCTAGTGAGCTCGCCCGCTACATATCCTGTACCGTTTTTAAAGATTAATGATTTCTTAAATTCAGAGGACCGTATTCCTTTAAACAGTTCAAGACTCTCTATGAATCTCTCCTTAATGCCATTCTACCTTCAAAATCTTACGACATGTTTGGACGCCACTTGTAAGTTTTATATTATATTCAAATGCATTTATGTATTCACTTTTCTTTAACTGCCTTAGAATACAGTCATTTTAATGTTTTAATAATATTATTTCAGCCTCAAATTCAGTCATGGCATATGAAAGCGTTGCCTTGAAAGACCGTACGGACTATTCTATGCAGTTGCAATCTGTTTTGAATATTTTATGGAAAAACTTCGGTACATTGGATTCAACGGCATTACTGAAATTGTAAATATTGTTTTCTTATATTTTCAAATTAATAATTTAATCTTCATATATACATATGTTAATATTATATTTTTTTGCAGGAAATCGGACGCTATATTCGAAATAAAAAAATACGAACAGCTTATTGACTGTCTGTCATACATAATTTCAGAAAATTATACAGTAAATGAGAGTATTATAGATAATTGTGACGTGATAACTAGAGAGATACAATTATATTTTATAGGAGACACGAATATTATAGACATGTTGAACAAAGCTAACGATATATATAAGCAGCTTACAAGTTCTATCTCAAACGAAAACAATATGAGAGATAAAACGAAAATATTCACTGCGGAACTATCACTGTTGACTAGTCTTCTGTTCCTTAGAATAATGGCAGAAATAAGTCCCATAGACCACGTAGAAAAGTACAGACTCAAAGTGAAGTATATAGAGGAAGATGTTGATATATTTAATAAATTACTGAGCGTGTATTACCTACATGGGGTAATAACGGGTGGTATCAGTGAAAATAGGAACATAGAGAAGGCGTCCGACGTGACGGTGGATTGTTTTAAACAAGATAATAGGGAAAAACTGAATAATGTTCATCCCTACTGCGAAATTATAATGAATCTCAAAGAAGAAACCGCATTGAGGGTACATAAATACGCCTCAGGGAATACGTTCCGTCCCAAGGAACCGTCCTACACTAGTTTTATTAAGGTATAAACTTATATAATTAACTATACCCATAAACATTAGGACTTACGTTAAAAAATGCCCCCTTTATGATTTTTTTTTATGTTGTTTATAACTTTTGTGTTTAAAAACATAATTAAAAAATTTAAAAAACAATCACTGTCTGTTTCCGTTCCTTATTGCATTTAGAGTTACATTAATTTAAATCTAAATACAATTATAATCCAATATTTATATTAGTCGGTTTAAATTTAAAATCTTTTTCCTTTACATTTTTTTAAGTAAGTGAAATAAAAATTTTAAACCGTTATAATTACAAATAATCGTCAATTTAAAAATGTATGATACAATAGAAATTATTAATCACAAATTGATTTTTTTTCCAGGATTGCAAACACTTTACCAAGTCCGTCCTATCTGATAAATCAGTGAAGACCCTGTATACCAACCTTTTGTCAACTTGCGGTACAATGTATGATATTATACAAAGCGGCACTTACGAGAAAGCACAAAACCAGTTACAAAACGCCCAAACAGTGTTGACGGAAACCACTTCATGGCTGCATTCTGTTAATACGTTTAGCAAAAAAATTGTCACTTATTCTGATGCTTTTCCAGACTTAGCGAAACCCTTACAAAGTTCGCTGTCTCAAATAATGTACAGTGTGACGTCATTAAAGGACCTAATTCGAGAATATATTGTGAAAATTGAACAAGGTCCATTTTTGCCTGAAATGTTGACATCTCTTCTAGTATATCCCAATAGTATACCGTCTTTAGCTTCAAGGGAAAAGCATCTTAATAGATACCTGTCATCCAACTTTATGCAGCTCTTAAATAGGAATGCTGTAAGTGATGATGCGACACAACCTGAACGGGAATATCTTGAGTAAGTATCATAATAAATATCAAAATATATGAGAAAAGTAAAATGACATATTAATTGATTTTTTTTACAGGGTATTGAAAATGAATCTATCAGAATTCAGTATGCACAGCTTGTCCATGGAACGAATTGATAAAATTAGTTTGAAAGCTATACTCACGACACTAAACGCTATCACAAAATCATGGGAGAAACAACGTCAGGATATTGAGAAACAAAAACAGGATGAAGAAGCCTTATATGTTACCAAGTAAGACAATAACCTGTTTCTAGACTAACTTTGCCTTAATTTTCTATTATTAATTCCTTTTTTTCTCATAACCCGTAAAACAAAAAAAAACACGTCAAAAACACATTGTATTATAATGAGTTGTATTTAAATTTTAAAGCTGTTTTTATATAACTCTTAAATTTCCCAAAATCTTCCCGTTTTTAGTTAACTAAACTATTTCATCTAACTATTATATTAAAAGGACCATAATATAGGAATTTCAAACCTTGTATCGAATGCAATTTCAATGTTCCAGATCGAAATGTGAAGACGAAGACGAAGAAGCTCTGGTGCAGGAAGAGATAAGTGAAATGTTCCCTTCATACTCCGACTCCGATTTCGCTGAGTTCAAACCGCCGACTCTCGAACAGAGGAAAGACAAACCGAGGAATATCAAACCCAAACTATTGTTTTCCCCTGACGATGTTTCACTAATATACAGATGGCATTCGAACTTCGTACGGAACCTGACGAACGCGCAATGGTTATCCACCCCAAAAAAATTGGTTGCGAATGATGTTGTCACTCCGTTGATACTGCGTTATCCAACATTTAGTCGGGTTATACAGGGTGCTTGGGAGACGTTAGATGTAACCTTCGAAGGAAGTATTTTACCAAGCTTAATGGTGCTAGTGTCGCATATTAAAGACAAAGTCGATGGAATTAGTGAGTATCCAAAATGTGCTATGACGTTTCTTTGTAATTTTATTGCTGATGGCTATTTTAGAACACAGTTGTCCGAAATTTTTGGAAAACTTTAAATTAATAATCACATAAAATCACATCAATCACATAAAACATAGTTATAATAAGTTTTTGAATAATCATATATTTTTTTGTATATTTTAGATGGAACAGGTTCAAAAGTTGACTTCTACCGGTCACCTTGGATTTCCGAAACAAGGGAATGTCTTCCTCTCCTAGAAAGAGTCAAAGAAGCAACAAATGAATTATTGGATCAATGGCCAGACTTTCCGACTTTAAAAGATGTATGTTTAACTATGTTATACAAGTTTCCTTTCGTAACTCTGACCGTTTTGCCTTCAGTATTACTTTCAAATGTTTATCTCATATAATAGATATATTAAGGAAGTTTTAGCGATATCTATCGTCTATGTCACGAAACGTCTATACTATATACGTCTGTTATATGTTGGTTCCGTATTAACTACTTCGAGTGAAGTGATAATAATGTTATTTGAAGTCAAACTACATTTTTGTAAAGTTTCATAATCCGTTCAATAGCTTTTACGTAACCAACCAAAACACATACGTTCATTTCCATTGACTTTCCCGTTAACATTACTAGGATTAGAATCTCTAATGTCGAAATAATATATGATTACTTTATGTGTTTTATATCTTTGTAGATTATAATAATAGTAGACAGAATAATCGGTTTTCCGATTACCAGTCCAGTGTCGAGATTCCTGACAGGTTTGGAACTCCTTAGAGATAAAATTGAAGAATGGAACAAAAACGCCCACAAAGGAAACAACATGATTGATATATCACTGGCGGTCGGACAACAGATCATTAACTGGAGGAAATTGGAAATGACTCATTGGAAGGAGTGTCTTAATAACTTGTATCAGAGGTGAAAATAATATCATTGATTTATATTATTTCTATACTTAGACGTCAAAAAGTTTGAATAGCTTTTAGTATATTATGAAATAAGAACTACTTATCTCATTACAAAATAATATCTTCTTCTTCCTGGCAATTTCCCAGCTTTAGCCAGGGTCAAAATAATATCTAAGAATAAAATATTATATATATTCCTTTATCGATAATAATGTTGTTTTTACTACAAATTGGTCTGTTAAACGAATAAGATAGCCATAAAACTATTCTGTTGAACAGTAATTTTGAGTAGGTATTAAAGGTTTAACTGTTTCAGTTAATTTAATTAACATTTCAGACAACAAGCCGAAGCTCATAAATACTGGTTCTATATGTATGCGGTGATAACATCTTACTTGGAGGAGACTGATATATCATCGGCCAGGGTTGTGTCAGTGTTGAAAGATTTCATGGAAAAGTCCAATCTAGCGGAGTTTGATGTGAGATTGGACATTGTTTATGTATACCACTGTCATTTAATACATCTGGACGCCAGCCAAAGACGCGGTGAGATTCCTTGGTTAAATAATATTCAATAATAATATATGTTACAAAGATCTTTAGAAAAAATAATTATAGTGAATAGTTTATAGTAAGTTATTTACTTAGTATGATGTGAAAATTTTTATACTTCAACAAAAATAACTACACTTGATATGTTATTTGTACATAGATTTAGATTTTTTTTGGATGACATACATCTATCACCTTAACTTCTTTAAAGTCAAAAATCAAACCTTTCTCCCTAATGAAGCCTATCATTATTTCCTAAAAGTTAATTAATCTATATCGTATACTGCAATTATTGCGGATCTTCTGTAATATCCAATAATTTACTTCTATCTACATATATATGTTCTGTTTTAGATGAACTTCTATCATTGTTATGGAATACATACAACTATTATCGACAATTCGCTCCGCAAGTGGCTTCACATATTAAAGAAAAACGTGCGCCCATAGAAAAGAAATTAAAGGACTTCGTCAAAATCTGCACCTGGGACAGAGATCTTAGTTACTGGAGTGTGAAGGACACAGTAGACAAGGCTCATAAAGCTTTACACAAACATACCAAGGAGTTTGAGGTTAGCCATATTGATATATTTATTGTAGTGAAACTAACTACTTCCAACAAGGTTGATTTAAACGTTCAATGCTCAATGTAAGGTGGTTTAAAAAGAGACGGAGCAACAGTAAATGGGTGGGTTAGTTGTGAATTGTAAGCAATATTTATAAAGTTTTTCTTATAGAAATAATGAGTTCACTTAAAAATGATTCCTACTTATTCTCATTTCCACAAAAGGAAGTTTCACTTCTTAGGCACGGAAAGACTCCAAGCACAATTTTTTTAAAATTTATAAATTCCTTCGATAATGTATAGCTCATTTTTTATTATATAAACAATTATTGTGTACTTTATTATCTTATTTAACTGATTGATGTGTTTGTTAAATATCCTACTTTGAAAATTGTCCACAGAAAGTTCTAAAGGAGAGTGTATCGAGTTGTCTTGTGGATACGGCGAGTGAGTCTATCGACCACGTGGGTATTTGGGATAGACCAAAGAGGGCCGGCACTGCAAGCAACGCCGCGGGCGGAGCATATATGATAGACCTGCAGAACCATGTAGTACTGAACAGAAACATTAAGGTATATAAACACGCCATATTTATTACACTTAAAATATAATAATGATAAAAGATTTGGTGGTTATAAATGATTTCGAATGTCTTCTGTTTTATTTAGCTGTAAAGGTAGCTAGCAACAATTGCATTATTTGGTCTTAAAGAAAAACATTAGTTACAGTTACAAATATGCAACATACGCATTACATAATAATGTTTTAATAAATTATATTTCTTTTACAGAAATACCTTGACCAGCTTGAACAGCCATGTCAATTGATACAAGAAAACAGTCTCCTGGCAAAGATTCCGAGTCTGTTGAACAAAGCTCGAACATTATGTAAGGATACCATCACTAACACGGGCTACCCCGCGCTAGTACAGGGCTTAGACGACTTTGTAACCTTGGTTATAGAGACCAGTGAACATTTAGGATCTTTGGAGGTAAATTATAATTCTTTTTTTTATTCCATAACGAATATTTATTTTATACACGTAAAATTGTTTCTATTTCATATAATTCATTTTATTAATTAATTTCTAAAAACTAGACCATAAAAGTGAACAATTACTGTAGTGATAATTATTAATGGCTGAAATTATAACATAAACAGGATATTTTTGAATGTAATTTAATCAATAATACTTAATATTGTATGTAGGTTGATTCAACATTGCCGAAGGACAAACAAAAATCTCAAGCCAAAAACATAACGCAGCAGAAGCGTAAAGCTCTATCGGATCTGTTCAAATATTTGAGCAAAATCGGTCTGAACTATCGCACGGGTCTCGTTATACTATCGGCTTCTGAAGACATGTATGATTTCACGATACCACCCGTCGATTTGGATGCCGCTATGAGCTATTTGAAAAGCAGGTATTAAAAACTATATAACATAAGTATCCGACTTTGTTTTTGTTCATTCTTTTGTTCGACTTTTGCTCATTCTTTTGTTTTGCTCCCAGGCGTTGTGATCCAACATTAACCCTGCTGTGGTCTGGTTGTGAAAAGTACTTCCAAAAGAACATCGCGCGACATCGTTTGTTATCAGCTGCGTTACAGGCGCCTCACCCCGACCTCGGGATACAGAATATTGAGAGATGTAAGGGATTCGCAGCACATCTACTGGTATGATCATTTTTATTACATAGAACTACATACTCTTCAATATAATTACATATATTGTATGCATATGGTCAACATAACCGGTGCAATCTTGATAATTAAGTAATATAATAATTATTTGCATAATACATTTAAATATTAACACTTTGGAATTAAATGCAAACCTTTGCTACGTGTATATGTATTTATACTTCTTTTTGCTTTAAGTGTATTGTTAAAAGTATAATAGTTATATGATATAATAGAAATGAAAATTAAGTTCGCATTAAATTTTATTTAGCAATTCAGTATAAATAGTTTTTAATAATACATACGTGCTTAAAGTATATACATTTTATTTCCAGAAATATACCAACACTCAGAAGAAGTCGATTTCGCGTTATACGAGACATATTTTCGATTTACGAACAGTAGCTACAAGTCTTACAAACGCTCTAGAAATAGACTCCACAGGATGTAACATAACTTCGCTTGAAGAAAAACTCAATGTGTTAGTTGAATGCTACGCTCATACGAGCATTCTTCTAGAACAATTCAATGTGGTTCTGAAGTCTGTTCCGGAAAAACATTTGAATACCGATTCTGAGCCAGATTTCGACAAAGTGCTATCAAACTCACCTTTGGTTGATTGTTTCAAGGATAGCGATGAATGGAAGTCTCTTAATAAAAAAATTAAGTCAATTATATCTCTAGTTGATAAACAAAAGGCATTGTTAAACAAATTATCTCGAAACCCGAAACAAATCGAAGAATCCATTAAGATACCTTTAGTTTCTCAAAGTCATATAGAAGCTACAAACGAAGCTAAGAATAATTTGGACGTTATAATAGAAAAAAGTGAGGAAATAATTAGCGAATATCAGTTTGTTTTCAAAACAACGATCATAGAAGACTTCACACCTCATCATCCGATACTAAGAAGCCTTGAAAATATGGTGGCTTACGTTAAAGATATAAAAACAGAACTTGATAAATTAGATGAACCGATAGACCAAGAAATGGATGAAACTGATAGCACGATATTAGAGCAGACTGAAGATATTGTTGCTACAATGTTACTTGTGATACAATCGTTGTACAAAAAACATCTGCCGCCAGAGAAACACGCGGAAAGTATGGACGTTATAAACGCTATTGATGAAATTATAGACGAAGGTGAAAAAGTTGAAACCAAAGAAATTTTAGAAGATAATCATTTAAAAGAATTACTCCAAGAGAAAATATCGACTGATTCAAGAATGCTGCAATTGGAAACTCTAGTTACCAAATTACGCCAACTTTTGATTAACTATGTGCAATATATTGCGACTCGGTCTGATGTAGAAGAAGCTAGAACTGTTGTTATGAGATTGGTGCCAATATTGGAGCAAGTTATACTATTTGTCCAATATTTTGTGTCCCAAAAAGTAGCTGTTCATAGAGTATCCTGTAAAATGCTGTTAGTGCTTTTGAAAATTTTCTTGGATCTGGCATCGAAAGGGTAACTATATAACTTAGATTAAATATACCACAATGTTAAAATGAATAAGTTGAGGTTGCATTTAAATATTAAACTTTATAAATATCTAAAGTACAGAAAATTAAAAAAATTATAATAGCTTTCGTAAATTGCAACAAATATATTTTACTTATGATAATTCTTCCATGAATTACTGTAATAGAATGTATAAGTCAAATATTAAACTCAAATTCCCTTTCTTTCCTAACAGTTTCTGCAAACACTCAGAATTAGATTCAGAGGAGGGTGAGGGAGAAGGCAGTACTGGAGCCAGCGGTATGGGACTTGGTGAGGGAGAAGGACAGAAAGATGTCTCTGAACGTATAGAAAACCAGGTGTGGGAAAGAGATAGATAGAAATATGTTCCTGAAACAATCATTGACTTTAGCACTGTAGAGAAAATTTATTACTCACTAAAAATTTATTTTTGTTCTCAAAGGATCAATTGGACGACGCGCATAAACCGGGTGAAGAAAAGAACGAACAAGATAAAGATTGCAAGGAAGAAGAGAAGGGAGTCAATATGACTGACGACTTTGATTCTCATTTACAAGACGTTGAACAGAAAGGTTGATGATATAGTCATATAAAATTAAATTTTAACCATATAACAAAGGGTTGTGCATTTAATAAATGTCCTTTTAAATTTCAGAACAATCGGATGAAGAAAACGATGATGACGATGCCGATAAACAAATGGGAGACACAGATAATGCTGCTGAAAAGTATGTAGATGTGATCATTAATTTTCATTACACTAAAATAACTATTGTAAAAAGTGATCTTATATATCATACTTTTTTTTTAATATGTCTTAATCACATGTATGTATAATTGAACGCAGAACCATTTTATTTGAAATTGACTAATATTGTTAAATTGTCATAAAGTCGGTTAACAAGATTTAGTACGTCCAACATAAATGTTAAAAATATTCAGAAAATAAAACATGTTTATCATATGGTATAAGTAAGACTCTATAATTATAAACTGGTTTGAAAACAGTGCATACTGAAATTACATTTGCTCCAAGCTCCAATTAACCATCCTCTTTAATAGAGAATATTAATTTATTTTATGTAAATTTAATTAACCCTCCCTATTGTTTATTCTTTAATGAAAAGGCTCGATCAACAAATATGGGGATCCGAAGACGAAGAAGATATAGACGAAGAACAAAATAAGAACGAGAAGGATGAACGAGGCAAAGGTGAGAGTACTGGTGAGAAAGAGATGGGTGCTAAAGATGATGAACAAGGAAAAGATGACGGCAGTGAAGGAAAGGAAAGGAAAAAGAAAGATATTAATGAAATGGAACCTGAAGTTGACGATGATCAGGTTAGTTTATTCGACTCTCATTATTATTTAAGCGTTGATTTTACATATACAGGGTGACTGGTGAATTACTATCAATATTTAAGGAGAATACTCGGTACATGATTCTCATTCGAATTATGTAAAAAAATAGGTAGTTAATTTTTGACCAAATTTTCTTATAAATAAATAAAGCGTGGACACGTTCCAAGTGTGGACGCGAGCGGCGGCGTGCTGATACAACACTACGCCGCCACACGTGTGTGTGTGCGTGTGTGTATACCTAATCTGTAGGGTGTTCACACGATGCGTAATTAATTACACAACTTTTGGTTAACTTTACTTAGAAGTTTATTAATATTTATGTTATATTAATTTTTATTTTGTCATATACGATCGTCAAATATCACGTCCTCAAGTATCGATAGTAATTTACCAGTCACCCTGTATAACTGTTGGCGCCTACGTGTGGACCTGCACTACATTTATTTTTTGTCTATATAAACTAACGATAGTCTACATAAATTTGTAATCCTTTTTTATCTATGTACATACGTCACTTCCTTTATATTTCAAATTTGAATATCATTCCGCTACGATTTCTTGTCTTAATAACATCTGTATCTTCAGATAAAAGTATTTAGCAAAACCAAAGAAGTTTTCTTTAAACTGTCTAAATACCGAACAATAGCTATATAGTAAATAATTTATTTTCCAGATTGATCCCTACCACGGACAACAACAAGAACTACCTGAACCCGAAGACTTTGAAATGCCAGATGATTTAAACTTGGACGGCGAAGAAAAAGACGATAAGGTAAACATATTATTCATGAAACTCTTCATAATAATTGTTATATAAGATAATTTTAAATTTAATATCAATTCAGGATGGAGAAACTGAAACTGAAAATCCGTTTGAAATCGACGCGATGAAAGAAGCTATACAAGAAGAGGAAGAACAGAAAGAAAATGACGAAGATAAAGATAAAGGAAATAAAAATGGTTTGGAAGTGTCCAGTGATGAAGAAGGTGAAGGAAACGATGATGAACAGGTATACATATAGTATAATATCTCTTCTTCTACCTGGCAATTTCCCAGCTTTAGCCAGGGTCCTCCTTACATGTTGTGAATAGTTTTGGCTAATTTTTTTTACGACCGGCCGCCTGCCTGACATCAACCCACTTTGGGAACCCTCTTTTAATCAGTGATGTCTAAATACTCTTAGAAAGTACATATGATTCGGGAAAAATCACATTAGTACTTGCCAGGATCGAACCCGCGCCCTCGGCAACGAGGAAGGCATTTTAACCACTAGGCCACCACTGACTTAGTTGCAGTATAATATATAATAAATATAGTTACGAAGATAAAAGAATTGGAAAATTATATTTGTGTTTATTATTACAGAACAAAGAGGAAAGTAATGAAACCGAGCAAGACAAAGAGAAAGATGAAAACGAAGAAATACCGGAAGAAACAGGAGATGATGAAACACAAGTGGATGAAAACAACCCGGAAACGGAACCGGATACACAGGATGACCCAGAGAAGGAATTACCAAAGAATCCGGATGACATAACGAAAGATGAAGAAAAACAAGAGACTAACCAAGATCCGAATCCAAACGCGGATCCTTCAAATAGAGATCCATCGGCCGAGGATAAAGTTGAGAACGCAGAAATGGAAAAAGGAACAAATGATAATGTACAAATGAATACGGAACCTATAAATGATGAAGATGCAGCGCCCTACGTGAGTTACATTAGTGACTTTTGAGTTGATTAATTACAAAATCTGTTACTATTACAAGTAAAGTAATTGACACATAAAACTTTACATATTATTTAAATTTGCTAGTTACTTTACACTGTTTATCGACAGATTATGACAATATTTATAATACATCATATCATTGTAAAAAATACACATAATTAGAGCACTATTGAAGAACACGATCTGAAATATGTCTTGTATCTATAATAATAAAATTTTTAGGAACAACTCCAAGAACAAGTCGGTGATAACATCCAGTCAACAGGTCGCTCTGAACTAGATAAGAGTGATAAAGGACACAAGGGAGATAAACAAGCGACCAGGGCAGAGGCTAAGGAAGAACGGAATAAATATGAAAACAAACCAGGAAAGACACACCAGGATAGAAGCTTGGGTAGGTTACTTATAAAACATGTTATTATATGTATATATTACTAGCTTTTCGGAGTTCGGTTATATCGCGTTTCCAAGAGAACCTTTCAAAAGTCTGGGATACAAACTATCCTATGTTCTTTCTCAAGGTCAACTCTATCTCTGTACCAAATTTCATTTAAATTAGTTCAGTGGTTTAGGCGTGACGTAAAAATTGACTTTTTTAAATCAATGAAAGATATTTATCGTTTGGAAGATTCGTAAATGTTTGTTAAATACCTCTTATTTATTTTTATCAAAGATATTTTTTGGTTATTAACCTATTATTCATAACGTTAGGTGATATAAATGAAAAGAAACACAAACAAGTCCATACACTTGAAGCGGAGCAAGATGGCGGAGAAGATAGTGAACAAAAAGACGAACAGGCGGACGCTTACCAACACGTTAAAGAGGCTAACAAGGACGATATACAGGTATATATAACAAAAATAAGAAAAAAATAATAATTATTAAAGTCTCAATAAGAAAGATATGCTTTAATATAAGAAACATCAGAAAAAATACTCTATTCATATTACCGTCTAAATAAGAAATATAGGCAAATGAATTTCATACTGTGTTTAAACATTTAGGTGGTAGATGCCGCAACGAAGGAACAAGCAGACGAACAACCGATTTTACGTGAAGATAAAGATGCTGAGGAATTGAAGGAAGATGAAGTACATATGGATGTAGATGACGATGATATGACGGTGACTATGATTACACTTTGACTTATCACCATAGAAATATAATACAAAGATTAACAATTTATATTTAATTTTACTCTTTATTACGTCTCTTTTTCTAACAAACACATTTCATAATGAGATATAAGATTTTCGCGAGTACTCATTTAAATGAAACTAATATTTTCGGATTTTTTACTTCACGTATTTATTTTTGATTATAAATTACATACTCCCGACGTTTCGGCTACTTTTCAGCAACCTTGATCACGGGCAGACGAGATCCGAATCCGAAAATATTAGTTTCATTTAAAAAAAAACATTTTTTTTATTATCTTCAATATTATATTTTATACATTTTGTACAGGTGGAAAAATCTGATGAAATCAAACCAGAGAAAACAAAAGATTCCAAGTCTAAGGACGAAAATAAACCAGGAGATAAGAAAGACGGCGAGGACGCGACCGGTGACACCGGGTTAGATATAGAAGGTACCACCGTGATGACTGAAACCGTACCACGAGGAAGAGATACCACCTACCACACAAGGTATCGCTTAAAAAAACTCTTCCAAGTCGTTAAAACAACGATTGTAATGATAATCTGACACTTCTTACACTTTTGGATACAAATTAGATATATTTTTCCACACTTAATGCTGTAATTCGCTTAACATTATTCTTACTTAAGAGTTAAGGCAAGTGATCATTATAAAATATATTTGAATGCAATCAAATTGTAGCTACTTGATTTAAGATATAACGATCTGAGTAGTGAGTGGTGCATATCATTTCCTAGTTGGCTCCATTACTTAAAGATTTATAAAAATTGCAAGAAATATTAGCAATTGTGTTTTAATCATCATTACCCATTATTTGTATTAATTCTATTTATTTCTAAATAGGCTCCAAGAATCGTCTCAACAGGCGGAAGATATAACGATGCAAGAGTACATGTCGTTAAGGGAATGGCTCGAGTCTGGTTCTATCGATGTAAGTGGCTCGAGTTCCGCTGCGTGGCGGTCCGTGTGGACGCAGAGCAGTGTCGCCGCTCGAGCACTCTGCGAGAGACTGCGGCTCGTGCTCGAGCCAACAGGCCGCTCGAGAAGAGCTGGTTAGTATTAATAAACTATTATAGAAATTTTGGGATTTATACTGCCTTAAACATTCCTAAGCCATATTGTGATTGTGGAGAATTGGACTTGGAGCTTTTGAGATATCGAGGTTTAAGTTAGCTTAAGACGTTTATATTTGGTTTAGATTTGGTTTATAGCTATTATAAAATCTGATCCACACGACCACAAAAGGTATAAAGTTAAATAAAAAAGATATTTATATTGAGAATCTCCTATACATCGTTATAAAAATTTAGAAGTGTCTACAATTGTTCAATATAAGTTGTATGTATTCATGATATTTATATTTATTTATTTATTTTTATATTGTTTGGATATATACAAGCGTTATAGCTCCTGTTTAACATATTTGATGTCCTCATTACTTTAAACAATTATTTGAACAAGTAATTGATACTACATAGTACGTCACATATTGTTCAATCTAATATATCTTTCCCTTCCAGGTGATTTCCGTACTGGTCGCGCTATCAATATGCGTCGTGTGATCCCCTACATCGCGTCACACTTTAGAAAAGACCGCATTTGGCTGAGAAGAACTAAACCAGCGAAACGAGAGTATAAAATAGCCATAGCGATAGACGATTCAAGCTCAATGTCCGACAATAGAAGCAAAGAACTTGCGTTTGAGAGTTTGGCTTTGGTCTCTCAGGTAATTACAAAGCAATGCATCCAAATACATTAATCATACGTTGTTATTAATCAATTTACAATTACAGGCATTAAATCTGCTCGAATCCGGTGATCTTGCGGTCTTAAGCTTTGGCGAAAAACCAAACCTTCTACATCCATTCACCGAACAGTTTTCCGAACACTCCGGGTCGAAGATTCTAGAACAACTCCGCTTTGAGCAGACAAAAACAAAAATAGCACAGTTACTAGATTTCTGTACAGTAATGTTCGACCAACAGAGCATGAGAAGTGATGCGTTAAACGCCAAGCTGTTGGTTATCGTGAGTGACGGGAGAGGAATCTTCTCTGAAGGAGAGACCAAGGTCATACAAGCGGTGAGGAGGGCGCGGCAACAGGGCATATTTCTAGTCTATGTCATTATTGACAACCCTGACAATAAGGTGAGTTTACCATAACATTTTATTTTATATGAACTAATGATGAAAATTGCATTCGCCTTAATTTTAATTGTATAGCAGATGTGTGTTATATGTATTGTTATACCTACTTGTAAATTTTACTATGTGTTTTCATCACAAAACTAAACAATGACGATGACTAGTTTTTCAATTATATACCTACGGTAATGTGGAACGATATGTGAATGGAAAACTGAAAGATGTGTGTTCAGTTTGAATTTGCACACATAGTAAGGTCAGGTAACAAACTATTGATCAGTGTTGTTATTCTTGTAAAATTAAGAAATCGTACCCTCTACGAAAATAACATTATTTATTAAAAAATAAATTATGATTTCCAGGACTCAATCATGGATATAAGAAAACCAGTTATAGATCCAGTGAGCCACTCGCTAACTGGCTTCGTTCCGTATCTAGACACTTTCCCATTCCCGTTCTATCTCATACTAAGAGACATGAACGCGTTACCTACAGTTTTGGGCGACGCCTTGCGACAGTGGTTCGAACTAGCGGCGAACACAGCTAACTAATTTTAATCTATAATAAAATATTATTCCTTCCATATATAATATACACACTACATTCATCCTTCCATAAAGTTCAGGCTCTATGTATATAGAGCCTTAACTTTTATTACCTACTTACGAGAATTTTTTCATAAATAAATGTGTTTTAGTTTGTAAGTCTGAAGAGTTTATAATTAAATATGGAAAGACTGTGAATGACTATATTTTTCTTATATTTAGGAATTTATTGTTTCAAAATTTTTCTATTTATAAATAAATAAAAAATTAAGTTGAACTTTGTAAGTGATATTTTACATAATATTTTATTAAGAAATATTGTTTTATTTGATCTAATCATTAATTCCTAAGTAGAAAGTGTTAAGATTTCTTCTAAAAATAAAATTCTATAAAATCACATCGCATTTTTATTGACGGGACCTTAAATCTTAAAGGTCTTGTATAAAAACAACAGTTACGAATATAGAAGGTTCTTAGAAATCCTACAATAAACATGTCACATTGAAATTCGAAAGTGGGATTTATCTAGTCTTCCTTTTTGTTGGGGGCAAAATTCTGTATTCAAATAATTTCAACTTAAGCAAACGTGCGAGTATTCCATTCTGATGGAACCCAAGTGAATCTTTACTAAAAAAAGGAAGATTCGAAAAAAGAAAAAATAAGGATTAAAATAAAAATCATCTTAAAAAATATAATGGTATATTTGTCAACCAAAAATTAAACATAGTAATATTTTGATAGATAATTTTGAAATTAACGGACTGTGTAAAAAAGTTAACATTTCCGGATATGTTACTATTTTTAAATAAATTAACCTCGCCTTATTAAAAAAAAAAACTTGCGATATCATTCAAACATTCTACGACTATTATAAAATACCTTAAACTTAGATGTTTAGAGACAAAACAATATAATCGATGCACCTCTTAAACTATTTCTCTAATATACAAATTAAATAAACAATTTACAAACACGCATGAACATACGTTATTTGTAAATTTCAATTTCAATTCAACAATTATAATAGCAAAATATAATCTATGTTAAAGTTTACAATAGAATAAACTAAATCATTTAAAATATTAAACATGTATTGACATAACGTGACTAAGATCAGATAATAATTAGAACCAGTGTACTGTATTCTTAGTCCAAGTTTACATCGTCGTACTACAAACGAAGAGTTTCTCGTTTTTCGTTCAATAACTTACGTTAATGCTATATTTATGAATGGAAAACACCTAACGCTCTATGTAGTGTGACTATACGCACTTGAACTAAGCATACTTTTATTCCTTACTTGTAGATATTTGCAACAAACATTGTTTCAGACACATTATTCCATAAAATGAAGTCTGAAAGACAATTTTGTTACAAAACCTACAAATATAATGAGTGAGGTTAAATAAATTATAATAAGAAGCTACATGTGCCCATATTTGCATACATTTGAGCGTTTTAAAGCTGTATTATGAAGTATGCTGTATTTACATATTTTTAAATGTTAATTGTATAAAAATATTAAATCCCGTTATTACACTGGAAGGTAAAAACACTTAGAAATAGTGTGAAGGCCATATTGGTGTTAATTTGTAATCACATACTCTAAGGACTAAATACACGCGTTTGGATTTCTTTGTCTTAATAGAATTTCTTAATGAGTAGTAATTATAGAAAAAGTTTAACAGACACTTCCATTAATAATAATACAATTTAAAAAATTGTAAATAATTTATTATTTACCTAAAAATATTAAAATTATTCCTTAATATTTCTCGTTACTGATATTATTTTTTGGAATGATCATCAAACAATTTAACGCCAATAAACAAACAATACATTATAATTTATAAATTATAATAGTGATTGTCCAATCAAATAATATTTTGTTAACAAATATAGATTATCATATATTTCAATTATATAATCTGTTGCATGGATATACCACAGATGGAATTTATTTTTTTATTTCTATATTGTAAAGTTTAAATAATTTATGTAAAGTTACATAATATTAACCTGTATAAGTTTATTGCTTCACTTGGTTTCCTTGGACGAATGGTTATTTGTGTCATCAGTCTTTTCGCCGTCACCATAGAACTTGGGCTGAAATTTATAAACACATGGGCATTAAATATATAAAAAAAATAATCCAATCTTCAAAACGGTAACCTCCGGAAAAAAAAATGATTGTGATAACACAGTCACATAAAAGATGATCATTTCATAAAAGAATCTGAAACAGCGGTGATATATTGGTAAACAAAATCACATCACACAAATATTAGTGAAAAGCAAAAACACTTGATATAATAAAATCTTAAAAATGCACCAATTAATCTGATGAGATAATAAAATTCTGTAACACATTTCAAAAGTGCAATCCGCAAAAATAAAAAATGCACACCAAATGTATTATGACACAATGTTTTCTTGTTGAATCAAAAAAGGGAGATAAAAAATCACAAAATCCAAAAAGCATGAACAATTAATACAATGCATCATCAGTCTAGACTTACACAATTTTATTATGTACTACACAGATGTGACTTTATTTCCAAATCCATTTTTCACACTCTTATAACTTGTAAAACCCTAGAAAGATATATCATAATATGTAGCTTTAATACAAACATTCAATGGCTTTGAAACCATAATTAAAATTTATTTATTTTAATATGAGACAATTGTTTCAGAGATTTCAAAGACATAACAATAATGTCTTAATGGGAATAAATATCTTAAACCATAACATTTTAATGTAGAATTTTTCAAATTTCAGTGTTAATATTGTGTAAATAATAGTACTAGTACACAATAAATAAATAACAGTGCATTTCACACTATCATTTTAATATAAGATGTCTTATTTTCATTTTACTAAAAATATTTTGTTCATCAAATCTATTACACCTAACACCTTATAAACAGACTCGAATTTCTCATATTCATTGAGTCTACTGGTTCTTCATAAATAATAAGATAAGTACAAAAGCTATATTTGCTTCTTAAGTATAGCATACTTATAAATTATAAAAAATACCAAATCACAATGATTGTTCAAATATGTAGTGTTAAATTAAATAACATCCCTTACACACTACATATCATACAATTTCATTTACATCTTTTATATACTAAATAGATAAATAATTTATAGAAAAAAGAAAAATTAAATATTACATAAGTAAATCCAAATTACTGAACTATATCTCTGGCCTCATAACAATATATTCAGTTAGTATGTTTTATATTATTAATTATATATATATATATTTTACCTCGTCATGGTTGTCGGTGGCAGCGGCACGGTCATCATCATCATCAGAATCATCATCACCCGATGATTCTCCTGACCCAGCGCCTTCCTTACCTATGAAATATAATAATTTCTTTATATATTTGTTTATTATTTACCTAATATTAAAGTCCAAGTTCATATTTCTCATAGAAAATTATTGAAACCTATATATATGAAATACGAATGTACTTAAATAAAAGTATGGTCATAATTCTATTGATGAATAAAAACATACCATGGATTTAGTTTACATTTTGATTTTAAAACCCAATATGACATGATTACTACTTTAATTCAAACTGACTGTATGTACATACACTATACTTTATATATGTACAAACATTATCTCTCTTCCAATTAATACTAATCATAAAATTTAAAGAAAATAAATACAGAGTGGAAGGAAGGCGTAAGGATTTCTAGTAGGTCGTATATATATGTATATGTATTATGCATAGTATTATAATGTCTTACTCGGGCTGAGCATAGCTGGTTGTTGCGCCTGCGCAGGTCTAGCTCTATCTCTCGTTAGTTCGTCGTAACATTGTAGACACACACGCAGAGGCTTGTCGCTCTGTGTGGGGAGGACAAACCGCTTGGATGAACACGGACCGCACACTACCGAGCCGCATTTACGACAGTGATGCTGAAATACATATTTATTTAAAGAAATAAATAAACATAGTAATTGTGACGACTACAAATTCGATTGATTCTATGTACTGGTATATTTTTGAGTTTTGTTTTTAATTACTACAAAAATTTCAAATTTTTCATAAAATTTTATTTCTTGTATAGTATATTAGTAATTGATTATTAGATATATAATTATGAATTTATATAATGAATTATTACAATGGAAACAAAAAAGTATATGGAATTTTGTAACAAAAAATCATTTTAATGAAGAATGTAGTAAGATAAATATTGAATAAGTATTGTGACTTGTTTTAGTCTGAATTTGGAAGTTGGAAGGCAAAATATTATTTTAAACATATTATCATTGTTACTTGTATATCAACTCACCCTTCTATTAAGCACAGTGAACTGTGTCTTCTTACAGTGCATACAAATAGCGGCCTCGTTGTCTGGGACCCACACTGCTGCGTGTTCTGATGGAGGTTGTTTGCCGCCTTGAAAATAGAAATAAAACATACAGAAATACATATAGGTCAATAATTTTTCATAATTCATGTTTGAAAAGTATTTATATATATATAAAGTTAATTTTATTACTACGCGGATTTTATTAATTTTAAAAACTACACTCCCGACGTTTTGGTTACTTTACAGCAACCTGTGATAACGGGACAACAAGATCGGGTTGGTATTAAGATCGGATAATTAACAAGATCAGGTCGGTAAATTATTAGATTCATTTAAATGAAAACTTGCAAAAGTCTTAGATCTCATTATACTTATGTATAGCATTTAAAACAGCGGGAAAACTTTTGTAGAGATTTTAATATGTTTTTAAAGATAACAATCAACATTTAATATACTTACTCTTTCTTAACAAATCCTCTATACACTTTTCTATGTGAGCCATCCATTCCTCTTTCTCTGTACTAGTGGCAGCATACACAGCAAAAGATTTAGATGCAGTGCGGATCAACCAACCATTACGAAATTCTAGAAAAATTATTGTGTTTTAATGCTGTAAAATACTTTTAATATATAAGTTATACCTGATAGCTTAATAGCTATTCAGCTGTAAAGTAAAGAGTCTGTAAAGTTTGTAATAAAATAGGTAAATGCTTTTGAGTAACAAATAAAAATGTATTTAAATATTTTAACAATGGTAATTTGTTTCCTTCTTTCTAGCAAGATGTCGTATAATGAATACTTTACAACCAAAACCGTTACAAACCATGATGAACTTACATATTTATGTAAATATTCTGTACATACATTACATACATGTAAATACTATATATATACTATATAAGTTACAATGTTTATCTATGAAAGTATCTGTCCATATATAAACAAAGTTGCAATGATATATTAGAATGAATCACCCAAATGAGTCACAATTTTTGTTATACAATAATTTTCTATGTTGACTATGTAAAAAAATAAATATGTTTTATAATAATGAAACAACACATAACTTAGAACTTACACCTACACAACATGATTCACAGATTGCAAAGAATTTTATCAACATACAGCAAGTTACAAAAAAATATAAAATTTATATTTAGCGAGTAATTTCCTTTATAATAAAAATTTAGAGTAAAATTTGACTATTTTTCAGATAACATAAAACAGGAATACATATTGTTGTAAAATCAAATTACAATATCTTATTATAAATGGTTGACTTCAATATATATAATAACTTCAATTACTCTTTACCAAGTCAATATATTAGGCTACACTAGGAAGTTATTTTTATAATTCCCATTACTAAAACTTTAATATAGTAATTAAACACTTACGTCCTTCATCCTTGAGGGATTCTAATTTTACTGTTTCAAGTGGAATAAGATGCTGTTTGTTGTATTTCTTCTTATTAATAACAATATTGCCATAAACTAGTATGTCATTGAATAAGAAAAACTGACGAGCTTTGGGTTTCTTTCTGCACATTTTTGTGAGGACCCCTTCACCCACAAGAACCCTTCCTTGTTCAGCAAGTGGCTAGAAAGATAATTATAATATATAAATAACCTTTAAAAAGTAAATAATTCCAATTGTATTACTAGAATATAAAAAAAAATCTAATTAGTTTGAAGAATTCAAGATAAAAAATTTCATAAAAATATGTTATAATTGATAGTGAAGTTATCTCCATGAAAAATAAACAGGAAAATAAATGATTGTTAAATACCATGCTGATAAAAGTGATAACTTAGGGTAAACCCACCAATCGAATGTAATGAAAAATTATCTTCCCCAGTTTGTCGTTTTTGATAAAAATAAATGCAAAGTTAGAAAGTTTTTCAGTAACTAATTTTTTATTTGAAAATTGTATAAAATTACTTACCCGGCCCGAACTGCCAAAGCAGTTCTCGACCATAGCAATTCTTCTAGCATTTGCCTCACTATTGACTGAAAATAAAGTTTAATACTATCGTAAATATATAGTAGCGTAGAGCATAAGTTTGACGTCAAAGGAAAGTAGTGACTTTGTGAACGAACAAACAATTACACTGATCCTACATGTAATTAATAAGTAAGTAGTTTACAAGTTGCAATCATGAATATTACACTCCACTTTAGTAATATTAGGCATGTTATTTATTGTATCCATACCTAAACGATCCACCATTATCGAAAATTATTTCAGTTTACACAGTGCAGAGACACGATAAAGATGAGAAAAATGTGTCATTCATATTTTTTTCAGTGTTGTGGTGTTAAAAAATGTATTGATACGACAAAAAATTTTAATGGAAAAAGTCAAAAATGTACTAAAAAGAATTATAATTTAATTTCTGTTAAATAAATAACATTGTAAGTGTTAATTATTTTTAATTATATTTATAAAAGAAACCGGAATAAAAATCTATATTTTACCATAGACACGAGCGATCATGTGAGTATTCATCTTTTGTAGTTTTTGACACCTCCTGACAGGCAGCGGTCGATATTTAGCAAAAATTGTTCGTAAGTCTTTCTAAAACAAACGAACAAAATGGCTTGCAAATTCTGTGGTCCGAAACTATCTCTATGTGGGCTCGTTTTGAGTGTCTGGGGAATTATTCAATTGGTGAGTAAGGTCTTTTCATACACAACCTGAATATCTTGAAACACTTCAAACTACTTCTTATTTCATGATTTTTCTAGACCTTGATGGGCGTTTTCTACTATATACGAGCTGTAGCTCTGCTTGAAGACATTCCTCTCGGTGAGAAACACGGCAGCATCGACGAATTTGTTGCTGAAGTAGAACATGGATATAATCAGGTAAATACAATCTATCTTCATAGACCAAAGTCATTAACATTCCTCAAGAACAAATAACTACTTAAAGTACAGAAACCTACATTGATTTTGAATGATGTAAACAATTCATCTCTAAATACTCATAACTATGTTAATTCAATTATAGCATCAATAACATCATGTATCAACGAGCTCCATGTAATAAAGTTGAAAGCAATTTCCTCATATAAGTATTAATATTTCTTATATCATATTATAAGCATTGAACTTTGTATTACAGAATGCCCTTAATTGCTGGATCGCCGCCCTGCTCTATGTGATCACATTGGTAATTTCTGGTCACCAATTCTGGATGAATAATCGCTCATCAGTTAGCATGTAATATGTACTTCATAGGTACACACACTACCTTTTGTTAATAACTCCATTCCAATTACTTTGGCCAGAAAAATTGTATATTTAGCATAAAAATAAATGCTTCGCCAAATTCATATAGCAAATGTTAATATTTAAAGTTATTTGATTATATGCAATTTTTCTAGACAATTTAATCTGTATTATAGAAAAAAATATTTATTACAACTTCTAAACTTGCTCTTAATGTCCCCGATTGTGTTTTCAGAAAATAATGTAATTGCTATTATTGCATTTGAAGGTTGAAATGCCTTTAAAACTTAAAGAATAGTAGAAGTCTATTCTTATTAAATCAATGTTATAAAGACACCATCTCTGTTCAAAAGTATTATGTTGATGAATATTTGTTCAGTATAAATTGTACATAAAATATAGTTCTGTAGGTACATTGTAATATGATTCTATAGTTTTTTCTTGAATTAAATATTAATGTTACAAATGGGTTTTTTATTTGTATATATGTGTATACATGTAGCATTTAGCAAGTTTTATATAGTGAGAATTTAAGATTCCTGATATTTTTTATATGAAGATTTTTTTTTAATAGGACAAATGTTACTGTAAAATCCTGCCACTCTTCCCTAAACTATTTATTTTTTATACATGTATAAGTTATTGACCTTTATTTATTTGGACAATTATACTCAAGTTCACTTTAATTTGATACCTCTGTAGAGTGAAAATGCTATTAAGCACATATAATAGTAGCATTAAATAAGACCTATATTTTTATATCTACACAGTTGAATAATTAAGAAATCATTTTTGAGTAAGAAATCCATGTTATCAATTAAGTGTAGCAAAAGTGGATAAAAAGCCACATAAGACCGTAAAAGAGTTTTTTAATAAAATAAAGTGTCAAAATGCTTTCACTTAATCAAATGTCTGTTGCTTCTGCTTATTGGGTTTGTTCTCTAATATGTTAGGAAAATATTAGTGTTGGAATTAATTCGAAGCGTTTGATGGGAGATGGCGTGGTTATTAATGTTTTATTTTTACCTTCAGAAACAAATTGATCGTTGAACAGCTGTTATTAAGTATAGTGCGTTTGATTTAAGCTGAGCTTTGCATTTGTGTGAGTGTACACGGATAGTGTAGGTGCGATATAAAATTTTTGAATGCCGCGTTCTTTTCTAGTTTTGAACCGGTTTATTCTGCTTTTACTCCGCCCCGCACCTTCCGCACTTTACCCTTTGTACAGGTAGCAACTTCAAATGTTGAAAACGCAATGTCAAATGAAGAATAATTTGTATAGTTTTTTAAAATTTTTTGTTAGTTAATATTTTTTTCCATAATATTTCCATTTGGCCTTTTACAAGTTTTGCTTATTTTATTTTTAATCTAGAATTGTTCTAGCAATTATTTTAGGTATCTATTTAAAATAAAATAAAATTTAATTCTTAAAGTTTTTTGTCTAACTCTACTTTCACTTTCATTCACACAAATGCAAAGCTCAGCTTAAGTCTAACGGGAGCTATACTGTTTTTAGGCTGTATCTTATTTTTAATAGCTAATAACATCAAGTGGTAGCTATTTAATTATGTCGAAATTTATACCAAATAAAGTATTTTTGCGGGGAGTTTTATTACATTATTTTATCGTGAACAAAAGTTCTGCAGAAAGTCATCGGATTTTAGTAAAAATTTTCGGTGAACATGCCTTAGCTGACCAAATGTATCGGAAACGGTTTACTCGATTTAAGAGTGGTGATTTTGCTTTAGACGACAAGGAACGACATGGATAACCAAAAAAAATTGAAGATAAAGAATTGGATGATTTACTCGAAGAAAATTTATGTCAAACACTTCAAACGTTGTCTACATCTTTAGACGTTAATTCATCGACGATAGAAAAACGTCTTATGGTCCAAAAAGAGGGAAATTGGGTGCGAAATGAATTAAAACCGAGAGACATTAAAAGACGTTTTATGATTGTGAACTACTGCTTGCACGGTACAAAAGAGAAAGTTTTCTACATCGTATTGTAAGATCCATGGGTTAAGCCGGGACAACCATCATCGTCAATCCCAAAACCCAATATTCATGGATCCAAGATCCTCCTTTGTATTTGGTGGAATCAACAAGGTGTGGTTTATTATGCGAACTAGCTTTCCGCCCGCAGATTCTCCCTCCTGGAGTTCGGTTATATCGCTTTTCAAGAGTACCTTTCAAAAGTCTGGAATAAAAACTATCTTATGTTCTTTCTCAAGGTCAACTCTATATCTGTACCAAATTTCATTTAAATCAGTTCAGTAGTTTAGCCGTGAAAGCGTAACAGACAGACTTACTTACTTTTCATTTATAATATTAGTAGGGACTGTTAAAACTCAAAGAAACCATCACTGGGGATCGCTTCCGGTTAAAATTGATGCGTTTGAGTCGTGTATTGAAGGGAAATATGCCGCAATGAAGCAAAAGGCACAATAAAGTTATTTTACAGCACGGCAATGCTCGACCTCACGTGACACAACCAGTGAAAAAATACCTAAAAGAGGAGGTTTTAACCCACTAGAAAGAGTTTTTTCGACAGTTACCTAAAAAATGGGAAAAGTAGTGGCATAAGCGATAGACAGTATTTTCAATTAGGTTTTTTTTTTTAATTTCAAACAAATCGTTATTTTTTAATTAAAAAAACAAAGCTACAAATTAATTCCAACACCCAGTACTATTAGCAAAACATAGATCCTTAGTTTTTCTGATATTACCACTAAAATTTAATATCCGGCACATTACTACCACACTTTCAATACAAAATATCCGCTTGCGAAGACAAGCAAATAAAGTAAATTCTACTACCTATTGTTACAATTTATATTCTTACATATATGTATATATTTTGTCGTCCTTGGCCACATACAATTTGTAGTAAAGTTTTTCCTGTTTATCAACGATGACAAAATATAGAAAACGATTGGCTTATTAAATTATGCGTAAATACAATTAATTAAACAGCTTTGTCTTTGTGTTGGGCATAGCGTGAAAAAAAGAGATACAACTGCAAAATCACTTTATTTTTAATAAATACTGCTTGTAATTGACGTAAATGATTTTTAAAATATTGAGTTTTGGCATTCAAATCAGAAAACATCAGAAGGAGTATTCAGTAAAAGGTTAAGAGAATAAGTATTTTAAGAAAAAATGGGTTTACTGTTCGGATGTGGTCTGTGTTGTATGTTATTAAGCTTTTGGGCGATTATTCAGTTGGTAAATGTCGTTTTATACATTAATATACAGTAATTAATAATATATGTACCATCTTTTAAGTTTCTTTCATATGCTATGTAGTTTCATGGAATATTTATGCCGAGATATATCTTTTATTTTTGAATACACTGATTTGAAGACTAAACATAAGTGTGAATGAAAATTATAATCATCATACATGTATACTTACTTACCAACAGGGACTTTGGGTTGCTTGATCATTAATTTTATTTTAACTGTAGGTTGTAATGGGAATATTCTTTAAAATGGAAGTATTGGCTTTTATTGAAGAAACAGAACCTCATGAAGGTGAATATGATGATTTTGACGATTTCATGAAGAAAACTAAAGATAACTACCACAAAGTAAGTAAATATCATCGAAAACTTCAAAAACACGAATATTTTGCTCGATAGATTTGTAAAACTCAACTCCTACATAAAAAAAAGGAAATTATCTTAGTTTAGCAATCCAGACAACCCATACCTCCTAAAATTACATTATACTAGAGTTTGTCGGACGATAAAATTTTATTTTTAAACATCAGTTAAGCTTTAATTATTCAGTTAAATCCAATTTTGTGAGATTTTATCCTTTTTCCAAATTTTGGAATAGAGATAAAATGGTTCAAAGGAAATATCGAACGAACAACAGGTACCTACAGCAAACTAATTTTAAGACTTTCATTTTATCTTTATTTCTCTTCATTAAGTAACTTCTAGTCGTAGGACTATCAATAACATTGTTATAAGAGAACTACGATAAATTTTACAGACAACATAATTTCTTATTGGTCGTAATAACTTTTTTTAAGCATTTCGCAACAAATAATTTTTATAAAGGGGATCTTAGATGTAGATAACTTTACATGTGTAGGTAACACACGTAAAATTATGTACAATAGTTATAAATTATAAATCAATCAACAGTTTTTTTAATATTCATTATTTTTATCATTGTTACTTTTGGCTCTCCATGTAGAAGTTACTTCATGAAACTTGAGAATTTTCATGCAGAATATAGAACGTTCTCATATTCTTAGTTATGTATCGGTAAGTATATTGTAACATTTCAATGGAAAAAGGACTACGGTTTTTAATTATTATCATTTCATTCATTTTCATAAATGAGTTATGAGTTAAACTTGAAGATTTCAATCCTTTATTTATTCTTCAAATGTAGCCAAAACAATCAATAACATACAAAAATGTTGTTTCAGGTAGCCGTCAACTGTTGGATCGCAGCGGCACTATATGTTGTAACTTTAGGTTTATCTTTCATGTGTATAAAAAAGTCAAAGGCAATGGACTTAAAAGCTGCTGAAAAAATTAGAGATGATGAAATATTTTGTAAGGAAAGAGCCAAGCGCAGTTAGATATATCTTTTCAATTAATTATTCATAAACGCATTTCAAATACTAATATGATTATATAAACTCTAAGTAACATAATTATTTTATCGCTTACAGAATAAATTCTAATGTAATATTTGGATTGTATCAATTATCTCCATCACAGGTCATACAAAAATTCTCGTCTTGGTAGTAATAAGCTTTAGATTTTGTAAGTAACAATTTCTATATAAAATAGTTTATCACCTCTGTCAAGTGTACCGAGACGCACAATATTTTTATTTAAAGTTAAACGTGAAAAAATGCAAGCCCGATTCCCCAATCAAACGTTTCAATCCATAAAACCACTTAAAAATAAACGATGTAACTATAATAAATTGTGGAATATTCTCCATGAAAAAGATTAACTATATTGAGAGACAAAAGTTAACTTTACCTTTGGGAAACTTGATCCATACATCAACAGGCCGCAATTATTATACCTACCACCCCGACGCATGTTTTTGGTCGTAAAACGATAATTCTTTGTTTTTGTTACATGGTATTTTCGTATATCAAATTTCAATGTTCTAGGTATCAAAAAGTTTTTATTAATTTAGGGATGACACATGAATTAGCAAAATAAAAGCAACATAAACAGTAATTCAGAGTAAGTAGATCTGAATAATTCAGTGAAGGCGATTATCTATAAGTAATAACTAGTTTTTTGAGTCTCCCGCTAAAAATCTTAGTTAGAAAGACAGTGTTATGAAAAGCTTACATTGACACGCCATAATTAACAACAAATTTAACACAATTTGCGATCTATCAAAACGAGAATTTAGAAAATCCCATACGGCTAATAATACCAATATGTCAAATAATTTCTATATTACTATTTACAAAGTCCTATAGGCAAAAGTCCTACCGAGCAATGTATGTATTTGAACGTTTGTATATACGAATAATAAACATAGAAACAAATAAGCATCAAGCGTTCTCATAATATTTTATTGTACAGTTACATTTATTTTTACAATAATTCCGTGTTGTTCGTTGTTTGGTTTACTTAACTTCCTCCAATTTTCTATCAAACGTTACGGTTCCAATGTTTACACTTTTTATTTCCTCTTTGCTTGCTTGAGCATTATCCTGCAACACGAAGAAACTATGTTGATCCTGATATTTTGATAGTAAGTAAAGGACCCGGTTGATAATTGAACTAATTTGTAGGCTTTAAAATAATACACAAGTTCATTTTAAAGAAATAAGTTTAGATTTTCAAGAAATATTATTATAATCACTTGATCGTATAAAAAGTTCTTATTAATTATATATTTTAAGGCTGAAAGGTAACATTTTTGGACACTTATTACAGTTCAATCAACTTGATCTGACGCATCTTGACATACGGTTTCGGTGACAGACCACTGAAAGTTAGAATTTAATTAAACGGTTGAAGTTTCAAATTTATTATGCTTCGAGTTGCCATCTAGAAACTAAATTTAAATATAAAAATATTCTAATCACTCGTAAAAATTACTTATCGTAATTTCAAAAATACACTACTCCAGTAAAATATAGAGAGTAAATGGAAACGACCACTATTCTAAAAGAAAAATAATGAAAATCGGGGAAGATAAACCACTGCTACTTATAATCTAAAAAAAGAAAAACTACAGCTTTGAGCAATAACTAAATTCAACAGGCGGAGTTATAATGTAATGGCAACCCTGGACCCTAAATGGAATAGATAAATTAAAGTCATGTATAATAATTTTTGTCTAACAGGGTTAGCATCTAGTTCTTCATCTTTAGTCGGGGCGGAAGGGCTAAGCCAAGGGTCGGCTAGAATCTGTGGAATTTTTGAACGCAACTTCAATGGCGCCAAAATTTTCGTTATAAGCTTTCGACATTCTGTTGACACTTTCGGTTCGCGAGGGAAGGACACCTTGTTTTGGACTTGCTGTAAAATCAAGTAATAATAATCTTTCAAATATTAATGTATATAGACAATCAATATACAAATATACCTTTAAGAGTTGCGTGTAGTTCGTGTCATCAAATGGCAATCGACCGTAAACTATAGCGTACAACACCACACCCATACTCCATATATCAGAATCCTGTGGCCTATAGGGAACGCCTTTTAGAATTTCGGGAGAAGCGTACGCATAGCTCCCGCAAAAAGTTTCACTCAGCGCATAAACGCCATTTTTGGGTTTCATGTGACCTCTAGCGAATCCGAAATCTGACAGCTTGATGTTGAGACCGTGGTCCATAAGCAGATTTTCACATTTTATGTCTCTGAAGTACAAATAAATTCAAAAAGAGAATATGTTTTTAATGTGTCATAATTATAGATTAAAATAATATATAATCTGTATATAGTTGTTAAGTATTAAATATGTACATATGATAGTTTAACCACACTAACCGATGTACGACTCCCCTTTCGTGGCAGTAATCAACAGCTTCGACCAATTGTTTGAACCACCGTCTTCCGCGTTGCTCGTCAATATGCTGGTCTTTCCGTATTATATCTAACAGACTGCCGTTCTCTGCGTACTCCATTACTATGTATACTCTGTGACAAGTTTAGTTGTATACAATTTATATAATCTATATATGTATATATTATTTATATAATATTTGAGGTAAGGACATATGAACTAAACATTAAAATCAAAACCTGTGAGTAGTTTCTATTGCTTGTAGGAAACGTATTAAGTTTTCATGTTTGAGTCCTTTAACAACTTCTATTTCTCGGGGAAGGAACTTCTTGAGATAGTCGCCAGGGGCTTGAAACTTGCTTATTATTTTTATTGCTACTTGACAATTGTGTCGTTCGCTAGTTGCTACCTGATGTATTAGAAATTCTTAAGAATGGTAAAAATTTTATAATAATAAAAATATTGAATAAATGTTTTTATTGATTTTTGCCTCTTAAAAACAATATGAAAATAATGTATATAATTATACGAAAAATTCCTTGAAGGATAGAAACATTTAAGAACAACGAATCAATTATAAATATTTTTTTAATTATATTTTTCAAACACTTTCTTACCTTAACTGTTGCATATGACCCAGAACCGATGGTCCTTCCTAAAATGTAGCCATGCGTTTCAAGCACTGTTAATTTTCTATCTGTTTTAGCCTCAACGCCACTGTGGACGGTTGCCGTGGGCTCAGTAGACATCTCGCCATGAACATTGTCATCGGCTCTTATATCCGGCCCTGGCATATCATAGAAATATAACTTATTTAATTTTTTTACTCAGGTTAAGTCACATGATAATGTATGTAGCCATATTATATTAATTTTTCACAAAAAATTTGCGTTTCGATTCATTCTGTCATTTTGTCAATAATGATGTTTGAGGGGTAAGAAAACAAAGTTCAAATATGCCGCGGTTTTAAAAATAATACTACTTTGCCAGTTTCATGCAAAAATAATTCATCAAAGATCCTATAATAAAATTTAATTAAAAACACGAATGAAATAAAGAATAGTATTTAAGATAGCAAAATATAAGTAATACTTATTTATAATTATTAATAAATTTTTTGTAGTTAAGTCATATTTCAGAACGTCTTTAACACTGACAATTTGACAGCTGTTATCTCAACGCAAGTAAAATGGCGGCATAACAATAACAAGATAGCATTTCAAAATTTGTTATTTGTTTCATTGTGTATATATTTTATTTGTTTTAAGTCATATAACAAATTAATTCACTACGAAATAACAAAGTAAACCCGAAACTGTAATAAATTGAAGTGTTTGGATACTAAGTGAAGTGTGGTCAATAGGTTATTTGAAAGCCTAAAGCATTCTGTAAGCATTATATATTTATTTTGATAGGTAAGGTATTTAAAATTGATAATAAAATTAAAAGCATGTTTTATTCATTAGCTCTAAATAGATAGGCTTAATTCCAATATGCTTCTATTTTGTAACCTCATACATTCTGATGGATATGTATATTCCAATGATTTAGCTGGAAACTATCACCATTTTTTAAGTATAATTTTATGTTATAAAGAGTGTTCTTAGTGTAGTTTATTGATAGCAACTGGTTTGTTTAATTAACACACACATTTTAGTTACATTAATCAAAAAGACTGATAATTTTTTAATAACATAGATGGCATGGGAATTTAGATGCTGGTTTATAGTCTTAAATTAGAATTATTATATACAGCACATATATAATATATAAAGCATTTAAACTAATTAATTATTATAAGGATTGGAATCGAATGAACCTTAAATCCAATTAACCATATAAAACCTTGATCAATTAAATACATATTGTCTTTTGTTCGTTTATTTTTTTCTACATAGTATAAATTATGTGAATTCCTCATATATATATATGAATTGTGGTTTACCTGAGTTACCCAGAATTTTATACAGCATGTATATAGTTTAGGAGTTTCCGAATTCATGCTCAAATATGGTCGGAAAGTTTAATATTTTTAAAGAATTATAAATTTTTTATTGAACTGTTTGATAATATATTTTATATAATATTTGTTGAACTTGTTTTCATATTTTCATTATATGTATTTTATTGTTCTGTTTTTGCCATAAATTTGCATGTTATTAAATTTGTTATATTGATATATTTCTTTTATTTTACCTTTAATAAATTGTTTATTTTTTCAATATGATTTTTCTAACACAAATTAATCAACACGTAGTACTTAATAAGTTTATTTATTTTTTTGAGATTTAATGTTTTAAGTAACTGTGTGATATAACTACTATAATGATTTTTAATATATGATGATAATGTTTTATAACCACCAATTCGTCTTGAGAAAGTGTGTTGATTATTGCAAATCAAAGCAAAGAGGCCTTTGATTAGCAGTGGGCACCTATAATCCGATGATGATGATGATTTATAAAGCTATGTCAAATATACTCAATTATTCATTGAGTTTTTTAATATACATATAAATTTTTTGTTTACATATATTATATAGAAAGAATATTTTTTTTATGATATAAAAGATTTTACTTTATTCAATAGTTTTGTTCCATTTAAAAATATTTTTACATAGATTTAGTTGGTAACAAAAGGTGCCTTTGTTAATCAATAATAAATTTAAATAGTAATAAAAGTATTATGAATTACAAGTATATATTAAAATTCTACTATTATAACTGTTATTTGATATGGAAAAAAGTATTGTGATTTTTGCATGTGTGGTATATGTGAGTGTTACCGGGTGCGTGCTTGCGAACGGTTTCAGCGACCGTTTATTGAGACCTCGCCCGAAAGTTTTTAATCCACGTCCCCAAACGGGCAGGTGACCAACTGGGGTCTCTCAATTCTGGACATGTGCAATACTTCACTCGATGACCCATTTTCGTAGCACCTTTTTGTGCGCTTTCATTTAGAAAGCATATTTCTAGAGCCCGCCAGCATCTATTGTTATCGTAATTGCGAACGCTACGCCATTCGCATATAGTTACTAATGGCTTACGTTTTTAAGTTTCCTTTATTCTTAATAATTCTTTAACTCAATTAAATACTTATTAAGGTTTCAATTAAAAGTAGTTTGCAATAGTGTATGTTATATGAGGGTGCGTGATTTTTTTTTTGTTTTTTACGTTGTGTAGGACGACGTCATAGCAAACAATTAAGAGTTATCTGATAAAGGTGTACGATATATTGCAGAGTTGATTACTTTTACAACTCCAGGAACTAATAAAAGTTGACCAGCGGACCGAGAACTCTCCAGTCTCGTTTTTAATTGAAACATTTCAGTTTCCATATGGAATCGATCATTGACGTCGGAGTTATATTTCTTATATTTTTAACGTCTACATCTGTTACGTTTTATGTACACATTAAATAACTTGTGACAATATATCTAGTCGTTGATGTAATATTATGTGTAATAGATTTGGAATCTCGGAAAACTTTCCTCAGATCACGATGGCTAAAGATATCAAGTAATGTCTGATTTCTTGGAAGTCGGCCGTCAATAATGGAATGAAAAGTAAAAAGTTAGCTCAGAGCGCGTTATCAACTGTGTCTTGAAAGTTACGTGAAGAAACTTTTCATTCATTTATTGCACGATAAGCTTTGAAATTATTAATGGTTATATACCTTCAATGTGAATTGTAATAGACGAGCAATGAATCTGATGTCGGTAAAACCATTCTGTACTAATATTATAGGTGCTCTATAACATCCTTTATTATATGAATTAAGTGGCGTTTACTGAACAGTATAGGTATTAACTTAGCGGTTTTAAACTAAGTGCTTTAACGCATTAATAGCTAACATTAATAAGCCTAACTTTGAATTATGATCAGTCTAAGCTGACTACGATTACTATCAGATGCTAGCTGTGATAAACATTTATGATTTCTGTGAATCTCTTAAGCGTATAATGGATAATTGGCCTACGTTAAATATCACCTTAGTTCTGGCGTACTATTAGTTTATGTAAGCTGCTACTAATAAACAAATGATACATAATACATTATTTGAATTTAGTACGTAATTTGATATTCGAATTGATCCTTTCCGACGTAAGCAAGCGAGATAAATATTTAGGGATACTAGCTTTTCCCCGCGACTCCGTCCGCGTAAACATCAGAGCTGTTCTCTGCCACTACAGCCTCTGAACCCGAACTGTACTTCAAGATTACACTTCACCCGAGTACTTTTAGGATAGGAAACGAGATAAAAAGAAGCCTGTGTCCTCTAGAATTGCGTCTATCTCTATATCAAAATTCATCTAAATCGGTTCAGCGGTTTAGACGTGGAAACGTAAAAGTCATATAGAGTTACTTTCGCATTTTAAATAATAATAGGAATTTACGAGTCGATTAATGAAACCCAATTAAAACAATTCATTTCGAAAAAAATCACAACAAAAACTTTATTTAAAATTTTATGTAAAATTGAAAAGGGGTTTTCTTACGATATATTTTAGAACATAATTTACTAATCTTTGAATCACTAGTCTTCATTGTTTGCTTAAACGTTTCTCTACAATTTCCGTATAACAACGCCACGTGTCCTATTTCAATTAAAGTCAGAATAATCTAGTGGTTCCAGATTTATGAGCAAAATATTCGTGACCTAGTTTAAGCTCCACTCTTAACGCCTCAAATTCGGATACTTTAAAGTATTCAAGTGGTTTCATGAGTATTTTTCATGTAACTAGTTATTTATCGTCGGTTAGCATAATCTATAAAGTAAATTCATTAGGTTCGTAATAACAAGCATCGTACTAAATTTTATTAAAATAATATCAATATTTTTTGTATCTTTTATATTTTAAGGTGGATTAAGTTTCATTATAATTTTATACGTACTTTTTTAACATTAATCTATTTTACCGAGGTACTATCGAACTAAGCCATTTCATTATCTTTATAATTGCCCAAACACAAAATTTTAGTAGTAGGTACATCTAGTAGAGATGTAAATGTATATTTCGTTATGAATTTGTAATATTAGATGACATACAAATTATTTTAATATAAACGACTTAGAAATATATTAACTATCTTTAAAGCTTGCACAAAATATAAAGAATTGTCTGCATTGTATGACAGAGGTTATGAGAGGTCCTAATAAATCTAAAACACTAGCCCTCAGCGCGATCTTGTTATATTTTGATAATCCCTCAATGCGGGGCCTTTGTCATTCTATACGAGCGGTGTGTCCTGTTTGTTTTTTCAGTCGCCAATTTACGAAGTAATGGAAATAACTGGCATTGTATAACATTCCATTTTAAACACGGGACAACAGGTAAGCAGACGAGGGATAGCGACACTTTGAGTCCCTTTTGTTATTTGCAGAATTTTAATAGAACGATCCCCGTTCCCTCCTCGTGGATTTCATTCATGTTCTGCGTACTTTCTTCTGAGAGTGACTAGTGCTTCTCAGATATAAAGCAACCGCAGATTCGTTTTTAAAGTGGATTAGAATGATGTTTAAACAATCTATAATATACCTACATATTTTTGGCTTTATTTATTCAAAGTCTTTAAGATTTTAGTTATATAAAACATTTTTAACATTTAATGAAATAATTGGAGATTGAGAAAATGAACACGACGGAAATTAATTTCATCTGTAAAAATAATTTCCATCTGTAACAGACGTCTGTGAACCTAATACAATTAATTTGATCCTACACAAATATGTGAGGTACTTTAGTCGCTACGAAAGTTAGAGTTTTATCACAGCTTTAGTAGTAGAAAAGAAA